ACTAGAGACTCTAGCTCAGCACGTCCTGTGCCCCAATAGGGGACTTTACGGGCCTCACGGCCCCCGGACGAAAAATATACATACATACATACATACATACTCTTATTGTATATGCTTCACAGGACGGCAGAGATGGTTTAGGGGGAGAGACTGGAGCCAATCGCTTCTAGAAGCAGTAGCTTTGTGTTTAAATTACCATTTCTACAATCTTCTCCCCACGTCCATTGAAGAAAGTCAAAACCGTGGCTTAAGCCATTCTCGCAAATAACATTATTAGTGCATTTGCAGAAGCGAACCTTCATGATAGATCGACGAAGACCGTGCATACTCCAAGGAAAATAGAAAATAATCTCCAATGTTTATCAATCTAAAAATAATAGGTAGTCTAAATCAGATTATCTAACCATAAGTTTGTAGACGTGATCAATGGAGTGTCTCGTGATAGTTGCCACAATACCTCGAATCGAAAGTCAAAGACCAGTTGTGAGATTAAAAAAGATCGAATAGGATACATGTATCGCGATGGCCTACTAGAGCCAAGTTGACTTAAACCTTGGGCAGATATTGAGCAGGAAGTTACGATGGTAGTAAAGATGAAATATACTCAATTAACACCAAAAGCTTATTCGTCTAAACTGTATTTGCTAGAACTTTCATTGTTGACCATTTATTATAAAAGAGTCAAATCTGATCCATCCTCCCGAGCCATTTCTCTCCTCTTAATATCACCAACCAACCATGGCGAACCCATCTTTCACCCATCTTTTCTCTTTCCCTGAAGAGATCATCGATATAGTATGCCAGCAGCTCTGTCCCCACTGCAGCGAGAGAGCTTCTCCTCGACACTTCTTTCGCTACGAAGAGCCGAAACCGACTCATGACAGAAAGTGTCTATTGGCCTTATCTCTGACATGCAAGGAACTGAGGCATATATCGCAACCGCACTTGTATCATCGACCGATGGGACACGATTTCTTTGGTTTCATCGACACCATTGCTGGAACACCCGCTCTTGGTCGGCATGTCAAGGAGCTCTGCCTGAACGAGCACATGATCCGGCGTTTTCTTCTTCAATATGCTGACCAAGCTAAATTTCTTGCGCAGTGCAATAAACGGTACCGCACTCATCTATGCGAAGCTGCCCAGAGAAACCCAATGGCTCCGGTTGACAGATTCGGAAATGCAACGGGCTATTTCGGAGAAAGGAGGCAAATAGTTGGGACTGCCATCAATTGCCTCATGTCTGTTGCTATCTCTTTAACACCAATGCTCAACAAGCTCGAGATTCATGTCGAGTCAGACTGGAAATTCTCGTCGATCCCGTCTGGATGTCTTCCGAATTTGAAGAAACTTACTATAACCGTGTCATGGAGTTTCCCGACTGACGACCTTGACGGTCTGGCTGGCCTACTGGACGCAGCACCTCGACTGGAAAGAATCGAACTGGTCAACTTGGAAGTACGGGATGCGACAAAAAAGCCGAAGACGAGCTTTTGCCACGACACTGTCAATGAAATTACACTGAGATCATGCATGCTTCACATCAGTCAGCTGGAGGCCATCATGCGTGGCTTCCCAAAACTACAAACTTTCCGGATCGGTGCACCAAATCATTGTCAACGCGCTGATACCCGAAGTCAAGACACAGCTCTCCTGTACCGAATTGAGGATCTTTTGATGCTGAGAAGCGACACGCTCAAACACCTTACACTCCACTTTCCTGGCATTCACCTCGATCACCCAGGTGAAATAGTGCTCCAAGATCTCTCAGGAATGAAAGTCCTTGAGACGCTGTACATCGACAGCGGCATGCTGCATCGCCGATGGCAGGGCCATCGGCCTGGACGAAGGATTTGCCAATTGCTTCCAACATCCATTAAGGAGTTCGGTCTAATGGGGAGCGCATATCCGCTGGTACATGACGAGGTTTTGGAGTCAATCAACATCTCGGCCTCGGTATTTCCTCTCCTGAAAAAGGTAGTTGTTGCGGAGTTTGGGAAAAAATGGCTAGTTGATGGGGATAAATGGGAACGGATGTTTACCTCGGCTTGTGAAGCTCACAACCTAGAACTTTCGTCGGAAGTACCTCGAAGCTCACAGGGTTTGGCGCTCCCGGGGCCGTATAGGGATTAAATTTGAGGAGGTGCTGGATAATTGCGATTTCTTTCCGAGGCTTACGTTTTGCAACCGCATTCGAAACCCGTTCGGCTGTATCATTAAACAGAAAATATTCTATATCAAGACATTGTTCATGAACTTACAGGATTGGATTTAGACAACAAATTAAGCATGTAATTCACTAACCTACGAATGGTAATTGTCGCGAATTGAGATATGATGGCTGAGCTAAGTGAGACTGGTCCAATTGGTTCACCTTCGATTCAGTTTGCGGGGTTCGCCCCATTATGATCCTGCGCGAGGCACTTGGAACCTGGAGGCTCGGATGACCTTACCTTAAAGGCGATAGACCTCGGTACCAGTCAGGTGGGAGCTGAGACTAAACGTAAGTGACAACGGAGCTAAGGCTCCCGAAGGTTATGACCCGGTATAACGATGGATCCTGGCGCTGATCAAGACGGTGATGGAACAGAGTTGTCTTCATTTATCTGAGGAAAGGCCTCGGTATAGTTGAACTGGTGGTGAGTTCGATATGGCTCTAAGACTGAAGATGGTGTTGGATTAATCTATTCATGAACCTCGGCTCGGAACGAGATGTTGTTAACTTGAAGCTGTATTGCTATTCGACATTACTTCGCCTCAAATTGACAACAGCGTTGATGAGCCTCGGTTCTGGTCATAACCTACAGATCAAGATGGTGGTGAGACAAGCTAGTCTAGAGCTAATACGGTGTTTCTCGCGACCATGGAACCTTGGCGATGTTCGGAAACCGGAATGATCATCAGCCTGAAGATGTTGTAGTCTGCAGACACTGCATTTCGATCCAAGGTGGTGTCCAACTCCGCGAGCATCACTACCGGCGCCGTTCTCCCAAAAACAAAATTAGACATACTTTTAGACATATTCCGCTATCGGAACGACAGCAAGCTTGAGCGTTCTTGACAGCTTCTAGTGTCCGAGCACAAGAAGATCATCAGTTCATACCGAGTCATGAGCCTCACTTGTCCAAGCCCAAGGGATCAAACATGCCAGTTTCAACTACAATACGAGAGCGCTAAAACCTGTTAGACTGAAACTAGAAGTCAAAGTCACCTTGACCTTGTCGACAACCAATCTATCGAAAACTCAAATTCCCGTCAACGAGGCGCCTGTTTTAATGCTCTAGCGTTGAACTACCCGCAATCTGGCACTTGCGTAGCCAATACAACCTTGCACTTGCTCAAATAGCGTGCATGGAACTTACCGAACCGAGGTCATTTTCAATTCCTGACACCCAAGACTATTGGTATGGGCTGACCACGTTAGCGGGTTTTAGTATGAAACCGGGAATAAATGCGCACTGCCACCACTCCCCTGAGGCCACCATTTCTGTGGTTTCAGGTCCCTGTCTAAAAAAGCAACTGTCAAAGCGGCGCACACCGGTTCCCAGCAACGTGGTCGTAGGGCGCCGTTTCATACTGTATATTGACTGTTTCGATGATCAGTGGAGTTTGCTCGACTTGGCGCAACGGGGCTCATTTCCCGTTTTGATGAGGGCTTGCGAAGAGACTACTGGTTTTGGCGGCGGCAGACAAGGGCTTCTCGCATGACTCGGGAGTTGAGATTGGTGGGACGCATGGTGATAGGTTTGAGAACGAACGGGTTTGGTGGTGTGTGCTCTTAATTTGTTTCCGGGAGATAGAGGTTGCTTGATCTTTGCTTCTTGTTCTCTGACCTGATGGTACCGAAAGTGATCCATCGTCTGTACTCTGAGTTATTCCAAAAGCGTTAGACTTGCGAAAGCACAGAAGATGGATGTTTTGTTGGACTTTTTAGATAAATACCTGAGATGGCCTCGATGTTAATGGAATGAATCAAGCCTCTCAGTCACTCACTCAACAGCCTCTCTTTCAAATCCAACTCAACTGTCTTCGATTCTTCTGACTTCTCTCGCCTCAACCGCCAAAATGAAGTTCTCCATCATCTCTACTCTTCTCGCCGCCACCGTCTCTGCTCTTCCCGCTGGTCAGGATGCCGCTGCTCTCGAGGCTCGCCAGCTAGGCGGCAGCATCACCCGCAACGATCTTGCCAACGGCAACAGCGGTTCATGCCCTGGCGTCATCTTCATCTACGCTCGCGGCTCCACTGAATCTGGCAACCTTGTTAGTGCCCTTTTCATCCCCATTAACCGCCCAAGTGACAGATTATAACTAACTCTTTTATTAAGGGAACTCTCGGTCCCCGCGTTGCTTCAAAGCTCGAGGCCAAGTACGGCAAGAACGGTGTCTGGATCCAGGGCGTTGGCGGTGCTTACCGCGCTACTCTCGGTGACAACGCTCTTCCTCGTGGAACTTCTAGCGCTGCTATCCGTGAGATGCTGGGCCACTTCAACGACGCTAACCAGAAGTGTCCTGATGCTGTTCTCATCGCTGGAGGTTACAGCCAGGGTGCTGCTCTCGCCGCTGCCAGTGTCACTGACGTCGACGCCGGTATTCGGGAGAAGATTGCTGGAGTCGTTCTCTTCGGATATACCAAGAACCTCCAGAACCGCGGAAAGATCCCCAGCTACCCCGAGGACCGCACCAAGGTCTTCTGCAACACCGGCGATCTTGTCTGCACTGGTTCGCTTATCGTCGCTGCTCCTCATTTGGCCTACCAGAGTGCTGCTTCCGGCGCTGCTCCTGAGTTCCTGATCCAGAAGGCTGATGCTGCTGGAGCCGCTTGAGCGAGTTGATGGAAGGAGAAGGACTAGGCTGGCCTGTTCTTGTATTTTATGAGGTTCACGGTTTTTAGTTTTTGTTTGTATCTACTTCATGGAGGAATGGCTTTAGTGACCATGGACACTGAGACTCAATACGATAGCGCAATCGCATTGACTTGCAAAAGCTTCTTCCCGGGAATGCGAACTGCCGTGACAAATTGCTGACCATTATCATGACGCAAGATGACCGTTGAGAAAAGATGATATTCGATATATCATATTCTCAGAACATGGATCAATACGAGCAAGCCACATCGCAATTGGTGGTTTCGTCCCATCTTGTCCCCTGTATGTTGTATCGGAAGTGTCTGAGGTGCCGACCAGGGGTTCCATGCTGCAGGGGTTAGCATGCACGCATTGCATATGTTAGGTCCCATGTGACGATACATCTGACAGTGGGGGAATTGCCAAGCATGATAGGTACACTTGTGAGGAAATACTTGTTCGGTAACTGTGAGATCTGACTTCACTTGCGACAAAGCTCTCACATTGGAGGAATCAGCTTTTGCGTGGGATTTCACATTTCCTATTTGCATTAGCATCATCACACTGGTAGTGGGGGGCCGTAATATTTAATAACTTGGCGAAAGCCACTGTAGCATCGAGCCACTGCTCATTTTATAGGCGTCAAATGATCTGGAGATTAGGTTGTTGCCGCTGGCTCAACGGATTTCGGTCGGAATAAGCTTAATAATATGAAAAAACACCCCTCGGTGTCTCGATACAATTATTTGAGGTTGGAGAACAGTGTCGGCTTTTTGTATGGCGAATACGTGGTCTATTTTTAGGCTTTGTCTAGTCTATGATGTCTACTCTACAGCCTCATTTCACCAAATAGCTAACCTTTGACTTTCCCTTACTCCTCGCAATCTTCTTAACCGTCGTCTCACCACATAGATCCGTAGTATCAACATGCGTTCCACCGCATGGATAAACCTCCGCTCCAACAATCCTCACAACACGGAACTTGGTCTCTCCAGGTCCCAAAAAGCTCGCGTCAGGCGTAAGGTGTTCAAGACCGTTCTTGCGAAACTCCTCAGCGTCCCACCAGTCAATCTCAACTGGCATCTTGGCGGCCAAGAATTCATCGACTTTCTTCTGGATGGGCTCTTTGTACTTCCCGTCGATGAGGCCTTGGAATTCGCATGATGCGGAGTCGGGGAAGTGAGAGGCTTTCAACTCCTCAAAACCCTCGACTGTGTCTTTGAGGAGATGGTTGACTGCTGAACCGAGGACGTGTCCAGCGGTGTGGTATCGAGAGTAGAGAAGACGTTTCTCAACGTCGATTTCTTGCGTGACTCTGTGCCCTTCTGTGAACTTCTTGTCTGAGTTGAATCTTCCGAAATGCAAGACCTGGCCATCGCGAACTGCGTCCATACGAGCAGATGCAACAGTGAATGAAGCCCCAACCTCATCCGTTATCTTTCCAACATCCGACGGCTGGCCACCTCCTTGCGGGTGAAAGATTGTCTCTTCTGTAACGACTGCATAGTCTTCATCGGTGCCTTGCTTAAATAGCTCACGATTCTCATCCTCTAAGCTGCTGAAAGGTCGGATTGCTTTGACCAGTGTTTGAAGGGAGTAGAGCTTTGCATTGCGCTGGAAGGCGAGCACAGTTCGTGCTGCTGATGCCATGTTTGCGAGTGTAGAAACGAGTTAAAGATGATGATGAGGATGGAAATATGCGAGGGCGAAGAAGGAAATAAAGTGATGAATCAACGAATGAGAGAGGCGAGCACTAAAGCGGACGGGGTTTAGTGCTTAGGTTTCAGTGAATCACAGGGCGCGCCTTTGCAGCTTATCACTTATCTAATTGTTAATGCAAGACAGCCTAACCTAGAGAAGAAGGTATTTGTTGCTATCATCACTTTTGGAAACAAAAAGTAGCAAATAGAATAAATGATTATGAAACCTGGTTAATATGTGACTATATTTGACGCGGATATGAATTGAAAGAGCTCCACGAAGTCATCCTTTGGGGTCGCGCCTCACTTTGTTTATAAATATCATCATAGTGACTACTTCAGTAGTCGGGTAGAGAGGGGCCATCAAAACAACTCGACTTATCGCGCAGTATGATATTCACTCGGAAATGAAATTTAAGCACACCAAATGCCATTTACGTTGCTCGAGACGAGCTCTTGGCGCTCTAAGCTGAGCTGTCGCTGAGCTTGGGCTGAGAGTTGTTTCAATACGCGCCTGCATCTTGCGTGCGGGTGAGATGTTCGAGGCAGCAGATTCTATAATGATTTTTGACTTTAATTTCTCAGTTCAAATTGGAGAGCATGGCTACAGCGAGGCACGGAACGACATTAAGGGAGTACGTTTCACCATTTACGAGATCATTACTCGCGACGAAACACTGCGTGCCATTCGGCACGAGGAGCAACACGTCCTGGAAATCGAACAGAAGGATTGGATCCAGCATCCAGATGTCCAACTTGACCACCCAGTCTCGGAGTTTAGCGAGGTCCTCAGAGAGTGGTCTGAAAAGCGTCGCAGAGGCAAACAGATCACTGCCTACAAAGACGCGCCCAACTTCATCGATTGGCCCGATACTCCTCAACCGCCACCTTCCGAAATGGTCGTTTACTACGACGGCAAGCGTACTACCGAGCTTAAAGTGCTCTGGAGCACGGAGAGAAAAAGGTTGTCAGAAAAAGGCAAGACGGTTCTGAACTGGCAACGGCCGCCGCAGTGCAAGCTTAAACTGGGGATAGGATTCCGGAGACTGGCGAGTTTATTACGCGGGCCTGATACTTTTTGTTGATTTATTTCGAGCCAGCGCTGAACGACCCATAGACAAGGTAGATTGATTGTCAAGTGTCCTAGAATGGCTGGCGATTTCACTATATGTACCTACTCGGGGGCTGTTCCCTACGTGACATTCGCTGCCTCTTCTCGGGCTGTGAAGCAGAATGATGTGAATTCGTCGTGACTTTGAACAAAAAATATGTTAGATAAATTCTCACTGGATTGGATCAGCTTTGTGATGGAAGCAATGGAGGATGAGGTGTCCTGAGAGGTCCGCCGGTTCGCGGCAGCTTGGGTCCAATTGGCGAGAGGTGCTTACCAAAACATACCGAATCATCCCCGTAGCCTGAACTAACAGTCAAAATATTACTACAGAACAGAACTTAAAAGAGTCAAATCGGAACCTTACCGATTTCTTGGTGATGTTATTCGGAAATTACCCCGCATGGAAACTTCCGATGCCTTGGTAAATGCCGTTGACCTTGCGAAACCACCAAGCATGTATCACGCGGGGTAGAATGCTGTTAAAAGCAATGGGTCGACCACTGCTTTGACACGCATTACTATGAATAAGATAAGATTTGCGACTTCTGATAAGTATCTGAAATGATTCTGGATCTTTTCCTTGAGCACCCATGGGCGTACCTGACAGCTGCCGTCGTGGGACTACTTGTGACGAAGCTCCTCGTCAACAAGTACGGTAATGGCTTGAACGGAATCCCCGGACCAGCTTTGGCGTCCTTCACTGATCTCTGGCGCTTTCTCGACGTGTATAGAAGGCGACCAGAAGTGACGCAGATTGCTCTACATGAGAAGTACGGCACCGTCGTGAGACTCGGTCCCAACACAGTATCGATCGCGGATCCAGCTGCTATACAGACAATCTACGCTCACAACTCGGGATATACCAAGTCAGATTTCTAGTAAGTCTCCAGGGCGATGAAAAGAGTTGCCCAGGCTGACAAGTGGTAGTCCGGTGCAGCAGACCATCAACAAGAGTGGCAAGAGACTCATCACCCTCTTCACCTCACAAGATGAAAAGTTCCACTCACAGCTTCGACGTTCTGTATCAAATGCTTATGCCATGAGCACTCTCGTTCAGTTCGAACCATTCGTCGACTCCACTACCACCGAGTTCTTCAAACAACTTGATCAACGATATGCCAACCAAAACGACGTACTTGACTTTGGAACATGGCTACAGTACTATGCCTTCGACGTCATCGGGGAGCTAACATACTCCAAGAGACTAGGCTTTGTGGACCATGGAAAAGACGTGGATAATACTATTGGGAATCTTGAATGGTTGCTCAACTATGCAGCACCTGTATGTATACCAATAACCTTGACTGGGTCTATTAATCTGATGGTCATGTAGGTCGGACAACTGCCAATCCTCGATAGCTTACTCCTCAAGAACCCATTAAGGCTACAGCTTACAAAATGGGGCTTCACAAACTCATCATCACCCGTGGCCATCTTCGCGCGCAACCGAATGCTCGCCCGCGTTGATCCCGAAAAGCTAGGCGACATGAAGTTTGACCAAGACAATGGCCGCCGAGACTTTCTCTCACGCTTCCTCGAAGCCAACCAGAAAGACCCGGAGTTCATGAATAACGATCGAGTGCTCGCTCTGACTGTAGCAAATATGTTTGCAGGCTCTGATACAACAGCGATCACTTTCCGAGCTATCTTTTATTATCTCATGAAGAACCCCGCTGATATGAAGACTTTGATGGCTGAGCTTGCAGAGGAAGAAAAAGCCGGCCGATTTGCCCGCGAAGATGGCCTTGTCAGTTGGAACGAAGTCCGAGACCTCCCTTTCCTCAACGCTGTTGTCAAAGAAGCTCTTAGATGCCATCCCGCTGCAGGTCTCATGCTAGAGCGTATTGTCCCCGCACGAGGCCTCGACGTCAACGGCCATCATATCCCCGGTGGCACCATTGTTGGAGTCAACGCTTGGGTTCTACATCGCAACAAGGATATTTTCGGACATGATGCAGATCGATGGAGACCTTCGAGATGGATTGAAGCTTCGACTGAGCAGAAGAGACGGATGGAGAACTATATGTTTGCATTTGGTGCGGGTTCGAGGACTTGCATTGGAAAGAACATCAGCTTGTTGGAGATGTACAAGATGGTACCGGCTTTATTGAGACGATACGAGGTAAGTTTCAGTGTCGATTGAAGTGCCCTTTACTGAGACGTTGGGTCTAGCTTGAGTTCCCGTCGGCGGATAACACATGGCATTTGAACAATGGTAAGATTTTTCCGACAGATATCCCTTTGTATCTGCAAAAGCCATCCTGTGATATCCTTTCATGATACTGACCTGTAACCAGCATGGTTCGTGAAACAGAGCAACTTTAATGTTCGGCTTAGGCGGAAGCACAAACTATCATTTCTTCCAGACGAGAGACAAGATTGAGCTACTACGGAAGTAAGGGATCATCCAATTGATAGCGTGATGTACATAAAGCTATTCTTAAGAGAACATTCGTGCGTGGCGTCTTCCTTTAGAATGTTTCACAGTATTTGCTCGTGATGATGAAGTTCAGCTTGGCCCAGAGGAGACATTCCGGCACATGATAAGATAAGAGATGCCTGCTTAAACTTTCCCGATTCGCTTCCCATCTCCACGCTTCTCCACATTCCCTCATTCAGTGAGTACGTACTGCGCCGAAAGCAATGCCACCATCAAAGAACCGCGCTGAGCGAGTCGAAACCGATGTCTTACTCGCCATCAAGCCCGAGCACTTGGAAAATATCACCAGAAGAGAAAAGAACCACGAGTATCGTAAGTACCGTCTGAAAGATGGCGTCTCGCGCCTCTGGCTTTACGAAACTGGCAGTGGTGGCGGTCGCTCATCAATCACGTATGTTCAGCACAGCAACACTACTCTATACCAAAGATCAGAATAATCGAACTAATTGATCAATAGACACATCGCAGTGATTAATCCAAATACCCGCCATGAGCCGGGTTTTGTGCCGGCCGAGCCTTTTGGTATTGGCAATGAGGACTTCAACGCTGGACTCAAGGAGTCCAAGTACGGATATCCGATCCTGGAGCTTTACGAACTTGCAAACCGAGTTACTCTCAATGAAATGAAGACTCGATGGGGGATGGGTGATGCGCCTATGGGATGGCAGTACATGGCATCAGATCTCTGGGAGGATAGATGGGGCGAGGACGAGGAGAGAGGTGAGAAGGCGAGGAAGTTGTTTTAAAAGATAACATCGGTTGCTGGGTTTGGTGTTGATACCATGAAGGTCAATGATAGCTTTGCGCTCTGGGAATTCTAAAACTCATTCTATCCAATTGTTCTGCCTCAGCCATGCCTCGCACATAACCGGCCACTTTGATACAGGCAACTCCCTCGGGCTATCCAACGCAAAACCGTGAGGCGCGTCAGCAAAGATATGTAACTCGACCGGTGCTCCGCCCTTTGTAAAGCCCTCTGCTAAGCGATATGCGTTGACGACAGGTACAACTGGATCACTGTTGGAGTACACGATGAATACTGGCGGCGCAGGAGATCGGAGCTGAACATCTGGTTGTACAACATCGTACAGTTCTTGTTTTTCTTTCGGCGGCAGAGGAGGTTTGTTCTCAATAATTGTACGGCCAGCCGCATTCGTTGAAATAGGTCCGTAACCCAATACGGCGAATTCGATTTGCGGTATTTCGGGATCTGGTGATGTCCAGACTTGAGGATACTCTGCCAGAAGAGCAGCGCCGAGATGACCGCCAGATGAGAGGCCGCAGATGCTAATACCCTTTGGCGCAAGTCCACTCTCAGACATGATCTTCAGAGCTCTTCTTCCATCATCCAACGGCGCTTGCGCACCAGTCTCACTATTCGGGAAGCGATGCACCAGGACGAACGCGTAGAAGCCAAGACTGTTGAGCCATTTTGCGACGGCGACGCCTTCGCGACCGACCATGAGTTGAACATATCCCCCACCTCCGAGAATAAGAATGCCGCGGCCATTGGGTTTCGAAGGGCGATAGCCGAATAAGAAAGGGCGATGGACCTTGGTCACGACGGCGTTGTCGCCGGGGCTGTCGAGATCGAATGCTCCGTCGAGGGAGTCATTGCCCCATAAAGGCCAGGACTGATCCGAGTCAAGCATGGTGAACTGATTGTAGTCGTACTGGCGCTGTGGGACTGGAAGAAAAGATGCTATATAGGAATTGGAAACAGCAAGATATGTAGGTTCGTGGGGTTCTGTGTGGAGTTGCTAGATTTGGCCTCGCGGGAACATCCAACCGAGATGCCGAACATTGGGGGTTGGGGTTTTAGACAATACCGTCCTCTCCACACTGCAATTCTAGGTACCGCTCAGCATTTTACGTATTTGCATCACTTTTCGAGAGACTCTTGGCAATCTCTTATTTCCTTAGTCTGAATATGTTTGGATTACTTGATACACTTTGTAGGCCTGCCTATCATAATACTGACACCAATTCCCTCACCAGCATTACTCAATCCTCTTAGCTTGTAGTCGCATCAAAAGCAAGGAATGTCGAAGCCTTTCCAGCTTCGTCCTTGTCCTGCGAAATGTTGTTCTGCAACTTCTTGTTCTCCTCGGCCAGCTTATCAGCGACATCCTCACCCTGCGCTTGCTGAGCCTCAAGCTTGAGAATAGTAGCAGTCAACTTCAAGACCTTGTTCTTAATCTTTCCGCGCTGCAAAACCGTTAGCATTACTTCTCTATTGACCTTCGATGGAAAGGCTTACCTGAAGAGCATCAGCTGCTTCACCGGAAGCTGCGTCGATAGCAGGGTTGAAGGCCTCATCCTCAGCATCATTCGCAATCTGATTGACACTGTTGAGGAAGTCCAAGTCAGACTTTTCAACCGTTGATAGGTCAGTTGGCAGACCGCCAAGCTTTTGCAGCGCTTCTTGCTGGGCGTTTCCTGCAGTGCCACCACTGATGGAGAGATCGTCGTATGTTGTCTGGCTGAAGACAGCGCGCTTGCTGATGGGGCTGGCGATAGCAGTGGCGGCGAAGCCAAGAAGGAACGAGGTGAACTTCATGTTTGCGTTTGAGATGTGATGCACGGAAGAGGACGGAAGTCGAAGTGGTGGAGGGTGTGAGTGCAAGAGAACAGACCAGCTGTAAGAAGTGAAAGTGAATTGAGTTTGTGATATTAAGACTGAAGTTGGAATAAGTGGCAGTGTTGTCGAGTCTTTGTATGCGACAGAATCATCGTAGAAGAGATTCTCATTGGCGCTAAGCGAGCATGAGACGTTTCTCACGGAGTATCTTTACGCTTCATCTTCAGGATGAACCTATTCTGGGGTGTAAGCGCTGTAGTAAAACAGTGTATCCTCGTTGGTGATCATACTCGTGCTGTCGAGGAGCAGGATTGAACACCGGATGAGCGGTGATCCGAAGTACCCCAGCCTGTATTTACTATAATTCATCGGTTGGCGGAAACGTCAAATGTCAGATCTGGGCCAATGTCGCAATTCATCCTTGGCGTTGCTCCATCTTGGTGAGGAGACTAGGGGTATCCCTAAGTGTCGCGCATGGTTTCATCGTGCCTCAGATCGCAATTGAGACAACCCACTGTGTCAGGTTCGCTCCGTGAGTTCATCCCAAGTCTTAACATAACTTTAAGTCTAAATATGTGCTTTAAAAATAATTACATCTATTGCGATGCACCCTGTCTTACGGAGCGAGTCACGGGTTTTGCTACTGGAGCTGCCTATGCAGTTGCACACGATGGCTCACTTCCACCAAAAGCTAAGCAATATATTCCAGGCGGTATCTTGAGCCTCAAAAATGATCTGCTAAGGATGCGTGTTATGGTACAGTTAATTGTTGGAAGTGGAAGATCGTGTTGTTGCGCTGTTTGTCGACGGCCTGCTGGAGAAGTTTGAAGGACGCATACTGTGCTACAAGGATACTAAAAAGCAAAATTGAGAATGACAAGACACTTAGGGTAACAATAAGTAAAGAAACTACCTCTACAAAAAATGTGGTATAAAGTGTCGGAGCTTCCAGCATCAGCGTGGGCTGGCGATCGGATTTGCGGATGACTTTAAACACAGAAATCCGATGACGCGTGGCTCGGGCTTACGCTCAATCAGCGCAACGCATCCTTCCACTCCACTCCATCCATGTAAGACGCTACAAACAAGCTTAAAAGGTTGTACAATGACTTTATCGGATCGATTTTAATTGGATAATACGAGTAACATCCCGATGATCGGTATTATGAGGCTGTAATACAGTCAATCTGCAGCCACCTTGGCTATGGTGATGATGATGAATATGCTGCGTTGCCGGAAGCCAAGGTCCGCTTTGTCTGCAAGTTGTTGTGCTGAAGGATCAGGATTACCAATTGTATGATATGCAACATGAGTATAAATACTTGAAGGTCCTAAAGCTTGAAGACTTGTGCAACCCAGAAGACGATAACATTGATAATCCGGCACTATGAAACTTGCATCTTGGAGCATTCTTGCTGGTCTAGCAACTGCGCTTCCAACTAGCCCTCCAGATCAATATGAGTACATCATCATTGGATCAGGGCCCGGTGGAGGGACTTTAGCGTCAGTATTTTTTCTCTGGTGCAAACCATTGCTGATAATTCTTCCAGTGCAAATCTTGCGCGAGCAGGCCACTCAGTCTTCTTGATAGAGGCTGGTGGTGATCAAGGCAACACGCCCTTGCAGCGGATTCCCGCCATGTAAGTGTATCGAGCTATTCTAGACGATGATAAGTACTCACAATCTTCAGGGCGGATCAAGTCGCTGAGCATCCAAGCATGTCATGGTCCTTCTACGTGAACCACTACCAAAACGAGACTCAAGCGCGCAGAGACTCCAAATATGCATACAGACTATCAAACGGCACTTTGTGGCCTGGTCTTAATCCCCCCGAGGGTGCCGAGCCGTAAGCCATTCCTTTCCTCCTTAGCTAGGGACCTGTTCTGACTCGATAGACTCGGTATACTGTATCCTCGTGGGGCTACACTTGGTGGTTCTGCTCAGCTTAATGCCATGAACTTTGCTCTGCCACCTGATAATGATTGGGATGCTATAGCTGAGCTTACCGGCGACGAGTCATGGAGGTTTCACAAGATGAGAGAGCTGTTCATTGAGATTGAAAACTGCACTTATGCTCCCGAGGGGACTCCTGGCCACGGCTTTGACGGGTTCATCCAGGTACGTACCCGGGGTGCAAGGGCTATGATTCACTGACAAGCCCCACAGAGCAACCGGAACAACATCTCCTACATCACCGATCGTCCCGGCGTCGTACAATCTCTGAAGCATGCATTTGAGCAAACTGAAGGCATTCAAGTCGAAGATGCCGCTGAAGTTGGAAGACTAATGCAACGAGACATCAACCGACTGGACAAAGATCGATATTCGCCTGGCATCTACCAAATACCTCTCCATGTAGACAGTATTCGACAACGAAATGGTGCCTGGCGACATCTACACGAGACAATGACTGCCAGAACAGCAAATGGCTCTTCTTGGTATCCCCTGACTGTCAGTACCCATTCGTTGGCTACCCGCGTGCTGCTCAAAGAGGGTCGGAATGGTAAGCCGCAGGCTTATGGAGTCGAGTATCTCAAGGGCGAAGGGTTGTACTCTGCCGATAAACGCTATGATGAGTCTGAGTCTGGTCGATTGATCAACGTCACCGCATCGAGAGAAGTGATTGTGGCTGGTGGTACGTTCAACACGCCCCAGATCCTTAAGCTCAGTGGCATAGGCCCCAGGGAGGAGCTCGAGAGTCTTGACATCCCGGTCATCATGGATCTCCCCGCAGTGGTGAGTCTTTTATCTGAGGGTTCCAGAATACAACTGACATGGACAGGGCAAATATCTACAAGACAACTATGAAGGTGGCGTAACCGTCGAAGCTTCTGTACCATGGGAGAATAATCCCTTTGTGAACTGTCCCTTCACACTTGAAGCCAACGACACATGCTATCAAGAGTGGAACCAATCTCACACCGGGGCTTACGGCGAAGGCGCAGCTCCGATTTCACTTCTCTACAGGTCCAGCGTCAGCGAGACAAACGACACAGACTTATACCTCTTCGGAGCAGCTGGTACTGTATTTCGCGGATACTTCCCAGGCTACTCAACATGGCAGGCCCCTCCAACCTCATGGTTCTGGTCTATTGTCAAGATGCAGCCAGGCAACCAGGCCGGAACAATCACTCTCCGCTCAAAAGACCCCCGGCAAGCTCCAGAAATCAACTTCAACTACTTCGCCGAGAAGGGAGATAGGGATCTTCAGGCTATTCAGGAAGGTGTTGAGCATACCATGCGTATCTTCAACGCTACCGGTAAACCTTACGCTCCATTCAAGGTTGTTGAGCCTCGGCCTGGCGTCAGTATTCGACAGGGTATCATGGACGACGCTTTTAGTCATCATGCCACTTCATCTTGTCGCATGGGACCTGCGGGTGATAGAAACTACTGTGTTGATTCGGAGTTCAAGGTCAATGGCGTTGATGGACTTCGGGTTGTGGATGCCTCGATCTTCCCACGTACGCCGGGAGGATTCCCTGCTGCGCCGACGTTTATGATCAGTCAGAAGGCCTTTGGGGTGATTATGGGAAGCATCCGGGGATAGTATGAGGACGAGTGACTGAGCTGAGAGTGCCTGGCTCAGATAAACACATACACTTTGAGACACATGCATCTTTGCTTGGAGGGGCCAAGTGTTCTGTGCGAGGAAAACTCTATCATGTACTATATATCTATGGAGCCCATAGTCAAGTTCCCCCCATCATGCAGTTCTCTTTCATCCGGTCAATACTTCTTGAACAACTTCTGGTATTTCGAAAGTGTCTTCTTGTCTCCCTTCCAAACACTTTTGGCATCGTCCACTGCATCGATATGCTCGCCGATGTATGTAGCGACCATGCCATTTCCATGAGCTGACTTGTCAATGAAGACATGCTCATCCGGTTCAACGACGTTGACATAGTAAGGATGAGAGAGCATATCAATCAAGACATCAGCTGACTCGTAAAGGAACATGGCGATCCCGTCAAAGTCCACGAGGTTATTCGATACCGGCTCGGTGGCGCCGGCATCGGTCGGGACAATCTTCCCTGAGACTCGGACCTGAGAAAAAAAGATGTCAGTCCGATCCAAACACAGAGAGACACCACAGGAGTGGGATAGGGTCAAACCTACCTGTTGGTATCGAGCGATGCCAAAGTGCGTTGCTAGAGGGATCACCTTGGGAGCATGCTGGGTATCCCAATACTGCCAGAATTCGTCGAGCGTCATGTTGGGGTTACGCTTGACGTACGTAACCATCTGTAGCAGGCCTGTGTTTGATGGAGGGCCTTTAGATGATGCAGCTGCATTGCCGGAAAGGGCAGAGGCGAGAAGTAATAGCGAAGCGAGTTGGTTCATGTTGATAATCTTGGTAAGAGGTAGTGGCTATACAGAGCCGGGGGAGATGCTCGAGGATGAAGGCTGCAACGAAACATGCTCATGAATGTAGGGGGGGCTTTATGAATGAGAGCAACTAATACCGAGACGGAAGTAGAATGTGATAAGACATATGGGCTGCATTAGATCTCCAAACGCTTGGCAATTAGTGTCGGATTCCTTCGACCAACATGGTTCTGGAGCGAATAACGACACTGCAATTAGCCATGTTCAGCTCAAGCTCATCCCTGCAGGATGAGGGACTAGCCTTCTATTGACCTTCGGAAGTGTGAAGAGAGTCTTACTTTGTAGTTGGGTTGCTGTTCATCCAGCCAGCTGTTATCAGCTCATGGTTTTCCATTTCACTAGACTTCCCTTCCGCATTCCTGCATCCAACATTCACGCATCAACGACCAACCAGAAAATAATCAATCGACTGAAAGTCTTCCGTGTCCCATTGGAGTCAAATATATTTGCTCTTTGTCCGAATTCCTTTGCCAAGGCATGGCTGGCTCGATTAGCCAATGGGAGGCACTACCGGCTCCTATTGACACCCATTTCTGGAAGTATCACCAGGGCCAACATTTGAGACATCGGTGTGATAAGACATGCATATTAACAGCAACCACCAACGCTTGTCACGATCTCCGACGGTGCAAGTACGTAAATCGGATGCTTCTGGGTCAAGCTCCGAGCGACTGCAGCCGATCCACCTCGCAGCCACATCAGTAGAGGCAGGCAGCAGTAACGACTGTACAATGACCAAGATTGACAAGGTCTGTTGGCTCTATAGACCTCTACACTTGCAGCTGTTTGCTCGGGTGGCGTTTTCTATCGAAAATTAGCTCAACAAACTGATTCGACAGCTCCTTCGTGAAGATTTCGGACCTTTGCTGAATAGAAATGAACCAACACCATACGCATTGATCATATCGTAACCATTCCTACATATAATACCAAGACGACTCTTTTCCGTAGAAATGAATAGATCATATCTGAAATGTCTTCTTATCCAGTTACTAACGGTGTGATCACGTTTCTGCCGCCGCCGGAAGGATATGTCGTCGACTTTAACAATCCTCAGCAGCAGGATGCACTCAAACATTTCCTTATCTTCGGCATCCTGGGCTCTCTAGCCATCCTAAGTCTGTTGCAGAGACTATATGTAAAGTATTACATAACGCGAGGATTGAAGATTGACGATGGTATGTGATAGCTCAAATTAAGGGAACTGTAGCTGACCCGGTGGCTTAGTCTTGATCACACTAGCATGGGTAAGGCATCAAGCAAAAAAAGGCATCATTAATGCAAGACTAACATTGTGATCTCAAGATCTTTTCCGTCGTCATGCAGTCGGCTCAGATATGTGAGTACACTCCATCGTTGTCTTGGGCCTCTGCTAAAACCTCAAGGGTCAATATCTATCGGAGGCCTATGTCATCATGCATGGGAAATGCCCATCGACGTCTTCGAGAAGCACATGCTGGTATGACCTCCACCTCAATGCTACGGTAATCTTCTTACGCCTCATAGAGTTCTTACATCGCCGCTCCAGCCTTCATTATCTGCAACGGCCTCACGAAAAGTTCGCTCCTGACTTTCTACCTTCAAGTATCGCCGCAGAAATGGTTCAGAAGAACGATCTTTGTGACAATCGCTTTCGTTGTTCTATACACTATTATCATCGCCAGTCTGCTGCTTTTCGGATGCCAGCCAAGAGAGACAGCATGGGATCCCTACTTATTCGCTACCGGAAAGTGTATTGACTATGCCGTCATGTATATCATCATCGCTGTCGCCAATATCATCTCAGACATCGTTCTCTTCGCCATTCCTATGCCGATGATTGTCCGGTTGAAGATTCCGCTAGGACAGAAGATTGGCTTGGGCATCATGCTAAGCATTGCTACCATGTAAGCTGAATGACGAACAACACTATCGGCGACTAACAGCAGCAGAACTGTCACAACGTCTATCATTCGCATGATCTATCTACCCTCCCTCTTGGGAGCCTTAGACATTCCATGGATCGCGGCGCCAGCAAACGTCTGGTCATTCGTGGAAGTCAACCTTTTCATCATATGCGGCTGCATGCCGACATTTCGCAAGTTCTTCAAACGCTTCGCACCGAAATGGATGGGCTCTTCAAGCGACGCAGCCTGCTCCGAGCCTCCTTCGAGCGATTCGCTGCAGAAATTACAGAGGAAGAAGCATACAGGGTATACCCAGTTCGATACATGTGGTTCTTTGGAACTTGCGACCTACCCTGATACCGTGAGCCGAACGACGCAAGTTACGACCGGAAGTATTTGCAGTGGAGTGATGGGAAGCGCATCGGATAATGCGAGCGAAGAGGCGATATTGCAGCAAAGCAAGATTGTGTGCACAAAAACATACAATGTCTCACATAGCGAATAGGAATAAATAGTAATAAATACAAGATACTTATCTCAATATCATTTTCACAAGCAAACGCTGCATAAGATGTGAAGTGCTCCGACTTCGCAACGTTGCTATGGTGTTGGTCGTGTTGCACAAACTCCCAAAACAGAGAACAAACACGTCGATCATTAACCGATCCCGATCGGCTACGTCAATGCCACTGTCAAAGCAAGGGCGCATTCTGAGCTTATATCCGTTCAAAAGCCAACCCTTCATCCTCAATCCTTCCGACTAACCGCAATTGTTCATTCTAATCTTGGCTACTTACTATCGAACGATTGATTGTGAAGATGTCGTCTTCCTCGGAGACAGCTTATGCCGTGGAGTCGCTGCATGAACAGCGGTGCGGGACTGATAGTCCGCCTGACACTGAACGCCAAGAAGGTGTTTCTCAGTCACCAACAGATTCACTTCCACCTACAGACCGCGGCAAGGACGCGTATCTAGCTTTGATGTGCTGTACAATGGCACAGCTACCAATCTGGGGTAGCCAACCTCCTCACCATCACACTTCAACACTAACAAACAACAGGCTACTCCGTCTCCTTTGGCATCTTCCAAGAATACTACAGCCGTCCAGGAAGCCCCATCAGCACAGCATCGTCCGGAACAATCGCCACCATCGGAGCACTACAACAGGGTGTAATGTATCTCATGATGCCGTTTGCCTTCCTCATCCTCACGCGGTATCCGCGGCTGCGTCACCTTTGCGGGCCGCTTGGTCTTGCAGTGACGGTCGCTAGTCTCACTGCGTCAGCGTTTGTGAACACTATTGCGGGGCTTATTGCTACACAGGGGGCGCTGTACTCTATTGGCTGTGGACTGCTGTTTTGTCCGATTTCGCATTATATGAATGAGTGGTTTGTTGAGAGGAAGGGGATGGCGCTGGGGGTTATGTGGGCTGGCAAGTCGGGGACAGGTATGACTCGAGCTTCCGCCATGTTGTTGTTACTGACAAGATGAAGGTATTGCCATGCCGTTTGTCTTTGATGCTCTTCTTCGCCGAATCGGTCTCAAGGCAACTCTCTTAGCCTGGGCTGGTGCATCAGCTGCAATGACACTCCCAACTCTGGTCTTCATCAAACCAAGAATCCCACTACACACTCAGGTTCAGGTTCAACCGCTATCTTTCCGCTTCCTCCGCCATACATCTTTTTGGATGATGCAAGCCGGTGTGATCATACAGTCACTTGGATATCTCATGCCGAGCACGTACCTAGCCAGCTACGCATCAACGATCGGTCTACCAAGTATCACCGGTCCTATCCTTCTTGCTTTGTTCTCTGTAGCATCCGTCCCCGGTGGTATCGTGCACGGCATGCTCGGGGACAAATTCTCAGCAACAAAAGCCGTAACAATCGCATCAATAGGAAGTGCCCTGCCAATCTGGCTTCTTTGGGGTTTATCGCTCGACCTTGCAAACCTGGTAGTGTTTGTCATTGTCTACGGCTTCTTCGCCGGCGGCTTTAGCTCAACATGGTCCAACATGTCAACCGACATCCAAAAAGACGACTCCGCCGCAGATTCAGCTCTCATTTTCGGCATGCTCATGGGCGGACGAGGTATCGGCTTTGTCACCGCTGGGCCACTAAGCGGCGCATTGTTACAAGCAAAAGCACATCTGTCCAGCGAGGCACTAGGTTACGCGACGCAATACGGACCCATGATCATCTGTACAGGTGTCACTGCTGTGTTTGGTGCTTGGGCGCCTATGTGGAAGGGCATGCGAGTTGCCCTAGGAACATGCAAAAGTCGCTGAGGTTTCACGGGCAGTGTTTTATCGACGTTTGGAATGATGAGCTTGTGCGGGGCGATGAAGATAACTGGGTCAGTGCGTACCTCGGTCAATAAAACATCGATGCCCTTGATAGATAGCAAGGTTCATCTCAATGAGGGGAAAACGTGGTCTTAGCCCGGACTTAGGCTCGGCTTTAGTGTAACCCTCATATCTTGATGTCATAAGCAATTCGGTAAATGGAACGGTAAAGAAGCACTCAGTGTAAGCACTTAAAAAGAACCCGGATGACACCAAGCACAATAGGCAACTGAAAGAATGCGTGTGTGTAGTGCTAAACCCCAAACTCCATCACTCCAGTGCAGTAGGCGTCATTGAAGCTCGGAAGTGACTGTTCGCCGGCCTATGCCCCGCTATCTTGAATTATTAATACCAACGCCCCAATGACAAGACGTTGGCCTGTTTGAGGCTGGGGATAGTTCCAAGCATTGGGTCCTCTGATTGGCTTGGGAATGAGAGCTGCTACGCTAAACTGTCGTCAGTTGTTTGCGTGGAGCCATCATCGTTGTATCAACCATCTCAATACCCCTCATTTCGCTTGGACCATCCAGAATGACATCAATTCCATTTATATAAGAAAAACGCCCCTCCTTCTACCTACAAACTCTCATCTCCATCTCTTCTCACCCAAAGTCAATCGCCAAAATGCCTGTTGAAACCGCCTACGACCCCAAGGACATGCTGTTCCGCCACCTGGGACCTACTGGTCTCAAGGTCAGTGTCTTCAGTCTTGGTGGCTGGTTGACATACGGCGGTACGCAAAAGGGCGATATCGTGAAGCAGATTCTTCAGAAGGCTTGGGATCATGGTGTCAACACTTTTGATACCGCCGAGGTTTACGCCAATGGTGAATCTGAGGTTGAGATGGGTCGTGCCCTCAAGGAGCTCGGCTGGCCTCGTGATGAGTAAATACCCCAGGCCCCAAAACCTCGATTTATACTGACTCGTCTAGGTACGTCCTCACCACAAAGGTCTTCTTCGGTACTGGCCGCAAGGAGCCCAACACTCGAGGTCTCAGCCGCAAGCACGTCGTCGAGGGTCTCAAGAGCTCTCTCAAGCGTCTTGAGCAGCCTTACGTCGATGTTGTCTTTGCTCACCGTCCCGACTACGCTACTCCCATGAAGGAGATTGTTGAGGGATTTACTCAGGTCATTCGCAACCTGAACCTTGCTTACTACTGGGGTACTTCTGAGTGGACCGCTGCTCAGATTACCGAGGCTACTCACATTGCTGAGCGCTACAACCTCATTGCTCCTGGTAAGTCCCTTGATGACTGGAGGTTGTGACAGATACTGATGGCGATATAGTCGTTGAGCAGCCTCAATACAACGCCTTCCACCGTGAGCGCTTCGAGGTCGAGTACGCTCCCCTCTTCAACCAGTTCGAGTATGGCACTACAATTTGGTCCCCTCTCGCCTCCGGTCTCTTGACCGGCAAGTACAACAACGGAATTCCCGAGGACTCACGATTTGCCACCAACAAAGCCTTCTTCGAGAACACAGTCAACGAGCTGCAAAGCGAAGCCGGCAAGGCCAAGATCGAAAAGGTCAAGAAGCTCTCCGAAGTCGCTGAGCGTCTCGGCGGAAACGTCGCTCAGCTCTCTCTTGCCTGGGCCCTCAAGAACCCCAACGTCAGCACCGTTATCCTTGGTGCGACAAAGGTTGAGCAGCTTGAGGATAACTTCAAGGCGCTTGAGATTTACAAGAAGATCGATGATAAGGTTTTGGAGGAGATTGAGAAGATTCTCGATAACAAGCCCAAGCCTGCTCCTACTTACAACCGTGAGAGGTAAATAAAAGTTTTGGAATGATCTAGATATGAATAATAGATCAATAATGACTGAATATGAGATTTGAGCTTGGCGCGATGAGTGACGTGATTGATGAGATTGTTTATCTTTGGGGCCACAATAACTCTTATCGTTTGTGACTGACTGGACAGTGTCAGCTTCACGGCATGCATCACGCGTGAGGTTCTCACGTCACCTTCACCTCAACCGACCATGTCGCGAAAATGTTCGAACGACTACCCCAGGAGCTTTTGAAACTCATCATCAGTGAGGTAAGATGAACTTATACTATTCTCATCGCATAGAATCTCATAATTTACCATTGTAGATATCTATCAAAGACGTCAAGAATCTGTCCCAGACGTCAAACACTTCCATTCTTCTACTCTGCAGACCTTCTGGGAATCTGTAGTAATTCCGGCATGGAGTAAGAACGACACTTATGGAATTGATATCGACGGCTTTCCGGTCGACAGATTGGTCTTTCCGAAATCTATCGGTCTACGATTTGTAACCGAGAACAATGCAAGAGCTTGTCCGCATGATCGAAGACTGCAAACCTGTCAAGAAGCAAGTGATGAGGAAACCGTCGACGAACTCGGTTCCTTTATGAAGTCTAAGGAAGTTATTCTCTCACTCCTCGAAAAATGTGAGAAGGAACAGTTAACATCGTTCAGGTTTGTCGATTGCCTGCAGCAATCCTGGGAAGAAGGACTGACAGAACCAAACCAAGCTGGGATCTAGGAACGTGTATACCGACTCCCATTTTAGGAACCAACGGCATAGTCACCCGTCAACAGTCTACGCTTAGTAATTTGAAGCTAACGACACATCCATTCTGTCAACGCTACAAATCCGGCGAACAAAAGATCGACCTATCCGCTTTTGAGTGGTTCACAAATCTCTTTAGTGTAGAGCTATGATGGTAAACACTCTCCCATGTATACTTTGAAACTACCGCGCCGGCCTGGTCAAGATAGAACTTTTCCAGGCCCTGGAAAGAATCTAAGAAAATCTCCGTTGGATCACTGTGTTCAACATCGGTTGCTGCACCAGCCTGGGGCCATGATTCCTGAATCTCCAGCTTCTTTAATTTGACTGGGACTTGGCGCCATTCCACTGCTAGCACAAAGATGTATCAGTGTGGGCATGACATGATTGTTAGAGATCTGAGAACCTCAAAGTCAATAGCTTGTACCAGGGTTGTAGTCATAGGTACGTGGCTTAGAACTAGAGTATGCAAGTTGGGAAACGTGATTTGCGGAGAGCGTATGTCGAGACCAAGAACCATTTTGTCGATGTAATCTCTTGCTAGCAATCCGTGTACTCTCTGCATCGTTTCGATAGCCTAGCGCCTTTCGCATATGCGGCCAGTCGGCAAGGTCAAGCTCCAAGGTTTGAAGGTGCGGTTTGTTGTTTTTGAGTGCAGCGGCGAATACTTTGAGGTTATCTGAGCTCAGGCCCCTCCAACTGAGATTCAGAAGATGGTGAGTTGGAAGACTGGGCGGACTTGCCGGATATGATGATTAGTGAGCGTGATAAGGAAGGGTATCGGGATGATCCGACTTCATCTCCTCTCTATCACCTGAATCTCGACTTCATCGGGCTGTCTTGTGAACCTATCAACCTGGTAAGCAGTCAGGCGCTACTATCTTCATATACTGACTTTGATCTATTAGCTGGACGTATTGAATCCATTTTCCAGAGAGGATTGCCTTAGGATCGTTCATGTTCGTCAATCGCGTAAGAACATGGAGTACACATCTCGATCATGGGGGATTATGGTGATGATAGACGATGAACCCCTCAATGATACACCAGCAGTGGACGAAGGGGAGATTCATAGTAGCGAGTATCTGGAACCTATGTTCTGGGCATTTGTTGAATGGGCTTTTTCTTACAAGGGCATCAAGTCCCTGGAGTACATCGTGTTTGGGGATTATGGCCGACCTGAACAAATGAGCAGAGGAAATCTGCTGATATGTCGGGATGGTTATGGATCGGAAGATTTCCGCATCATCAGGGAGTCATATCCGGCTCCTGAGTGGGATCATATCAAGAACGAGTATGGGGATGCTTTGAGGTCCTGTCCCTCAGATCCATTGTTTGAGATGCCGAGAAATCATGCGCATTAAACACCAGCTAGCTCGATTCAAAGCAAATGTAACAAAATCCCCGTAGCAACATTGGAAATATTCCCAACCACATCCCAAAAGTTCGTATTACTCGTATTCCTCGTCTGCTCCAACTCCCTAATCCTCGCCTCCATCCTCCTTTTCTCCACTCCATGCGCCGCAACCTGCGCGGTACTCGCATCCCTGATCTGCCGATTCAACCTCTCAACCTCGCCCCTCCACCTCCCCGCCTCATCCACAGCACCTCTCTGCCTCTCCTCAATCTTCCTAATTGTCTCATCATACTCCGCCCGATCCTCCGCACGTGCCTGCTCCATCTCGAGCTTTAACGCGCTGACCATGCGGTTCGATTCTGCCATAGCAGCTTGAAATCGCTCGTTGGCATCTGCGCGCTCGGTACTTAGTCGGGTTTCCAGGTCTTGGATCTTGGCTTCTCTTGCCTTGCGTTCACGCTCTAGACGGACGAGTTGGTCGTTGAAGGCTTGTTCCATGCGGCGTTGCTGTTCGCGGCGATCGGCGTGGAGGGCAGCTTGCTCGCTTTCGAGACGGCGCATGAATTGCTGTTTCTCTTGTTCGAGCTTGTCGAGCATTTTCTCGAGTTGGACGTCCCGATCTTTGATGGCTTGTTCTTTTTCTTCGCGGATGGAGTTGAGCTGGGCTTGGTGTTGTTCTCGCAGCTTGTTGAGTTCCTCGTTGAGAGCTTCACCTGCCGTTGTTTGGTCGACTCCCAGACCTTGCTCTACGATCTCTTCTTGGATCTGCAAAGTTACGGCAGGGAGGTCAACTAGCTCATTGACTATCTCAAGAGCGGATTCTCGAGTGTTTTGAAATCGTCGAATTCTTGAGCCTTTGTTGCTCATATATCCCCACCATTCAGGAGTTGAGATCAGCTCATGCTCTCTAGCAGCTCCCTTGGACTCATCCTGCAGCTCATCCCAGAAGGTAGTTGCAAGAATGACGTTCTCAAAGGCGCCATCACCACAGAGGTTACGGAACATGGTGAGGTTTCGCATGATGGCATTGGTCATTCTCTCATCTTTGATGCGGTGGAGGTAAATGATTCCACTGAGCTTGATGTTGTTCATGTACGAAGAGCTGAGAGCTTGAGCGACATCGGCAAGAATATCGGCATCGCCTCGGTACGTGTCATCGAAGCCGGGCGTGTCAAAAAAGACAAACTGCTGGCCCTGGATGAGGCACTCGTAGGCTTCCGTCTTCTGCGTGCCTGTTGGCGATTAATGTTCGCTCATCATCAATAAGGTCTAGTGTTGACTTACATGATCCAAGTGAATGCCCGACTTGGGGCCCATCTTCATCGTCTCTGCCAGTCAAGAGCCTAAGAAAGTTACTCTTTCCAGAGCCAGTCACTCCCATCACCGCAATCAACAGTACTGGCGGAGGGCTTTTCGACTCATCGCTTACCGACGTGTCTGTTCCCACCGACGGAGCTTCTGGCAAAGACTGGGCAACTTTAGTCATGATGGAAGCTTACAGGGATCTCAATAAGTGTGATATACTAATTTACAGTTTCCAGTCTAGACTTAAGAGTAAGAGAATGTCTCTTGATAAATACAACAAGGCAGACCAGATGCAATCACTATATGCCGACATATCCGATCCTACAACACCCAAAATCAAGCTTAACATGGCATGAGGGGCAATTCACACTCTATTCGTCAACGATAAGCACTAGCTTTACAAAACGACCGTTCTATTTCAACCTCCGCGCTACAGCAAAACCCGCATTTCAAGCTGAACACCCAAAAGGTGATATCAATCACTAGTCCGCGCCACCATCCACTAATAGCCTGCATCCTCCCAATTAGATACCCAAACCTGCGCAGGCGACCAGACAATGCCTCTCCCGCGATTCTCAGATTCCACTGGCTCCGAGACAATGCGCGGGCGCACTACCACACAAATCGGGCGGCCGTCGAACCGCTTATCACCTTTCAAAAGACCGACTGTTGGATGCGCCTCCATGTCGCCAAACATGCTCTGGAACCGGTGGAGGGTGGCATCGCCTAGCGCTTCGATTCGGATATTGGTTCTTAGCTTCCAGAGTCTTAGCGCAAGGCTGCATGTGGTCTCGAAAAGCTTGGTAAGCTGCGTGAGGCTTTCTCTGTCGAGGGGCTCGATGAGGGGTTGGTATGCCTTTGCGAAATTCTCGGCACATGTTTGTAGTGCTTGCTTGTGTGGGGGGAATGCTTGCTCTAGGTATTGGCAAGTCTGGATCCTCCACGTCACTGTGGCTTCTGCGCTGGCGCCTGGATATTGTGTCAGTTTGCCTTGTTGCCTGGGATTGTGAAGTGTACAAACCTCCTTGCAGGGCTGTTTTGTACAAGCAATTTTGGCCTAGAAAGAATGGATCGCCGAGAAAGATCTGAACAAGTCTTTTTGTCAGTGCAGCTTGTAGCAATATCGCTGTGGCTGTTCTGTGCGTCATGTCGAATCGTAGATGCTCCTCGCAATCTAGATCGTTGACGATATCTTCGGTTAGCAGGAGTTTTCGCGTCTCTTCGACGTTGGTGATCCGTGGCAAGCGATTGTCCATACACCACTCAGAGCACTTCTCAAACAGATCCTGCAGTTCAGTTCGAACCTGATCGTCAGGAAAATCGCTTGAGACATGACCAGCCAGTAGTGATATAGCCCTGGAGTGCGCCTCAGTCACTACTCCCTCTTGGTTCTTGATATCTTGCCTCAGAGTCTTGTTCACATCCCTTTCCTCATCGAGCTCAGTTTCAAGATCTTCCTTTGTCCGCTTGAGCTTGCGATAGTCATCGAACAAGCGATCATAAGCGGCTTTCGATTTCCTGAGTTCCTCTCCTCGTTTGCGCCAGAGCTCATCGGACTCATCTTTCCAGTCCTCCCATCGCTTGATGAGACGCTTTTTGCTATCAAGATCTTTGGTTTGTAAATTAAACTCGATTGCCAAATCGTTGAGACTTGTGCTCAGAGACGTTTTCTCAGCTTGTAACTGGGTTACTTCCTTTTGAAGTTTCTTTTCTCTTGATGTTTCTGATTTCTGGCTCAGGTACTTCTCATTCACTTTCTCGGGAGTTGTAGAAGGATCTGAAGAGCCGAATGGGTTCAGGGACTGGGTGATACGCCCAATCACTCCAGGGCTTTGCTAGAGAATCTCTCAGTCTGTGTCTAGTATGAATGAAATGTCGCTTGAACTTACCTTCTGGTGATTATTCGACGTTTTCACGGTCTCCATGACACCAGACACGGTCGAGTCCGCTGGAGGATGATATTTCGGCCTCATGTCATCGATCTTGGAGTATCTCGGCTGTTGCAAACTTAGAAAGAGAAATACGGCGAGTTCAAAACTGAATACCTCCTCATACGGTCCCTCATCCTCACTTTTTGGTTGGAGTTGGTCACCAATATCCTTCAGAGCTCCACCAGGACCATCCTCACCAGATCGTCGCTCAGATTCTCCGCCCATTGTGATGCTGTCAAAAAGCGTTATTGATCGAATGGCGTGATTATATGATCATTCCCGACTCAATTAACAAAAGCACTATTTATAACCCGAAATGGACGTCCCCTCGCGGGAAATCAATGGTTTGGCTTCCCCTCCCCCTCCATTACCCTCCCTGTAAGCCTTAGCCTTTTCAGCCGTGATAGTGGCTGCATATGCAAGGCCGAGCCCCCGACAAAACGCCAGTACACGGCAAAACGCCTGTGCATTTCAACCACCCCTGTAAGGCGTACTAAGATCAGCCGCAAACTCGGCGAACTGTTTAAGCTGTCGCCCTGGACCAGGTGGCCATTTGAACATGATGTAAGTCATTCCATCAAGATATCAGAGCCTCAGTCGAGTGAGCTACAGTTCTTTTCCATATCGCAGTTGAGGGCGCAAGCACAAATCCGTTCGACAATCATGTTGGCTGTGAGAAATAGGACGAAGCTGATAGTCGGCATTGACTACGGTACAACATATTCAGGTCAGCACACTGCAACTCAATGACGAACTCCCGTGGCTGATCTTCTCAACACCAGGTCTCAGCTTTGCGCTCTCCAATGCCGCAGACTTCAAAGACATTCACCCATGGACAAAATACCCCGGCTCATCAACCCACATCGCAGAACACTGCCATAAAGCTCCATCATGGGTCGCCTTCAAAGATGAGAATCCCGATCTCGATGAGAACGCGTGGGGCTATCAAATCGAGCCTGGAATGAAGACCTACGCATGGACAAAGCTCCTCCTCGATGATCAAGCACTCGCGACAGAGTATGATGATCCTGATCTTAACAAGGCCGCTGGAAATGGACTTATGAGATTACCATCTGGCAGAACTGCCAAAGACGTCGTCACTGAGTATCTCAAGGGTATGCATTCTATGTATAAGAAGGCTGTCATTGAGAAGATCGGGGAGGATAAGCTTGATGATCTACCTGTTGACTTCTGGCTGACTGTTCCGGCGACTTGGTCGGAGAGAGCGAAACTGATTACAAGGGCTGCGGCGTTGGATGCTGGCTTTGCATCGAGGCCTATTGATCGCTTGAGTCTAATTACGGAACCAGACGCTGCTGCGCATATGGCTTTGAAGTCCAGTATTCATCACGTTGAAGACCTTATTGATGTAGGTAGCGCCGTCTGGCTTTTTGAGTCCGTACTTACACTGCGTTTAGGTCGGCACGGGCGTGATGGTTTGTGATCTTGGTGGTGGTACTGTCGTAAGTCCAACTTTACTCCAGGCCTTGTATCTTGCTAAGAAGTCTAGGATATCACGACATCAGAAGTAGTCAGAAAGTCACCTTCTCTAAAGCTGAGGGAGATAGCTATCGGAGCAGGTAAAATAGTCTTCATCTGCAGATGGAACGATCATACTCACACTCTCAGGCGGTAAATGCGGCGGGACATTCGTCGACCGCAATCTCTACAAACTCCTCTCCGAACGCTTCGGAACTGCATTCACCGACCTCGGTCCACAGCATGTTGGGCCCGGCAGTCAATTCATGGACCAATTCGAGATGCACAAACGAGACTTCAGCCTCGACACACCGAGCAGGAAGTCTTACAAAATAACCCTACCAATGCGAAGACTGGTGGTCACTCCAGAGATTGAGAAGTACTACGATCCTGACTTTAACTGGGTGCTTTTGAGCAAAGATGATATGAAGAGTCTTTTTGATCCAGTTATCGACGTCATTCTCAAGCTTGTGAAAGATCAGGTTGATCAAGTCAAAAGAGATAATGAGCCCCGAATCAAGACTATGTGTCTGGTTGGTGGGTTTGGTTCGTCGCCCTACGTCAAGGAGAGATTGCTTGAATGGTGCTCCGAACAAGAGATACGGCTGACGACACCGTGGACAGGAGCGTAAGTACCCCCCTCGCAGGAAATATCCAGTCGTGACTGACAGATATCCAGTTGGGCAGCTGTTGTTTGCGGTGCTGTGTTGCGGGGTGTCGAAGGGTCTATGTCCAAACAGAAAAAATGTCGTCGGCATTATGGACATACCATGTCTCGAACATATGATCCAGCTGTGCATTTCAACTTTGATGAGAATAAGCGAAGATTGTGGAATGATCCCTGGACAAAGGAGCAGAATCTCTCTGGGTTCATGAATTGGGAGATCGCAAAGGTGAGTTTTCATCAGGTGGTGTTGGCTACGGGATGTTAGACTCACGATACATAGGGCGCCCTCCTCGACGATGATACCGAGATTAGCACGAGTTTCTACTCACACTTCTCAGAATACTTTGACGGAAAGCATACGCATGACCTTTTCTCTTGTAGCTTGGATGAGGCACCTGAGACTATTGAGAACGAACGTGAGTATAACCACCATGATAGGAACGATTGAGCTGACGATGGCTAGGAATCGAGAAAGTTGGGGAAGTCTTGTATACCATTGATGGTATCGACAAGACCAAGATCAAGAGCATACAAGATGCAAATGGTATCCACTGGTATCAACTACTCCTCACATTGACGATCCGTCTAAGTGACGATGAGGTTGGTGTATTAGTCTGTCGAATCTACTATCGAGGAAAGGAAGTTGGGAAGGCAGAGATAGGGTATTCTTTCACGTAATTGTGTTCCATCGTCTATCTGGTTATCTGGTTTTGCGGCGCCGCTTTGTGAGGCGTTGAAGGTTGCTAGTCTTCTAGTCAATTCTGTAATGGTGTTAGTCGTGGCTGCCTATTATGGTTCTTGAGAAACTAATAGATGCATTGAATGTATACTGCCTGGAGTTCTAGATTACATTCAGAGATCACCAGTTGAAGATTGTTCTGACTTGACTGTAGCACCGTCTAGTAGCTTTCTCCTCTGAGAGATCAGGCCGGCTCACGACGTCGCAGAAATATTCTCGCGATGTTTTTGACTAACAAGTCTGGGGAACCACGCCTATTTCGAGTCAGCCAGGACTTCGGAATACTACCGACAGTATCAGTCTCGCGTTCTCACAAGCAAGGAGCCGAATCTTAAGTCCGCTAAGCTCCGGAACAAGACTAAAAAGTGAAAAGTAATATGAGTCACAGCGAAATATAGAGGGTATTTAGTAATAGGCTTTTCCGGGTTTGCTTTAATTATTTAGACTTGGTGACATGCCGCTGGGGTATTCATGTGGGATAGATGTCACGTAATCCGGCGTCGGGGTGCGGGGGAACACCGAGCTTCCCCGAGCGCGCGCGTATTTACTAGAGATCTTTCAAAGCTCCTCACCGATATTTAAAACCTCTGTATCTTAATCAACGATCAATTGCTTGAAGTAAACATCAAAGCCCTTCCTGAAACTCCTCAGAATGGCCACATCTCTTTTCTCCAGCCTCAAAGGCTACACGTACAAGACCATCCCGTACAAGTCTGGGCCCGATGGCGACATCGTTCTTGATGTCGTGTACCCAGAGGAAGCCGATGGTTCGCCGACGACTGTTCTCATACACATCCATGGCGGATTCCTAGTAAGTCTTGTCTAGTCAAATTGCAAACTTGACTAACATGGGCGCAGATCGTCGGGGACAGGTATAGCTTTGCCCCGTACTGGGGTCTCAATGCCGCCACTGCTCGGAAATGGATCTTCGTGAGCCCTGACTATCGTCTTGTCCCAGAGTCTACCGCCCACGCATCACTGGACGATTCCATCGATGCATACAACTGGGTGCGCTCATCGCTGGCTGACGTAATTGGACGTCCTATTGGACCTGTCTTGCTGGCTGGTTCTAGCGCCGGTGGTTATCTTGCACTGGCGACTGCGAATGTGGTTGAACAAAAGCCAGATGCGTTGTTGCTCATCTATGGAATGCTCGATGCAGCTGGTCCAAGATATACCACCCCTGGGACGAATATCTGGGGCGCACCGCCTTTTGACACCACGTCGGTGTTGAGCAAATTTCCCAGGACGAAAGAGAACGATGATCGGAAAGCCATATCTGGATATCCCCCGCCTGAGAACTTCCAGCAAGACCCACGGTTCCAAGTTGCTTCAGCTCTCCACATCGACGCCCTCTTCCCAGACTACATGACTGGTGTTGACGGTTTGAGTCGTGAGATCGCAAACAAGGGCATCGATGCCATCCCCGAAGAACACCGACGGTTGTTCCCTCTCTCTTTTGGCGATCTTTCCAAGATTCCCCGCACGTTCTTGCTCCATGGCGTCAACGACACTGCTGTTACCATTGACTGTAGTATCGTAGCTGAGAAGAAGCTTCGTGAGGCAGGTGTTGAGGTTATGAAGGACTTCCCGGAGAATGCAGAACATGGGTTCGATGTTAGAACTGGAAATGTGGATGTTGAAAAGGCGGATGCGGATGGAATTCCTAATGTTGAGAGTTTGAGAAACGCCATTCGCTTTCTTGACTCCTTTGCTAAGAACTAGATATAACGAGATACTGGGTTCTGAATAGACCAAATATTTGTTACACGTTTCAAATTGAACTTCGTGCATGGCTTATATATTTGAAAGGTATCCTGTTCTAAGCTGGCACTTAGTTGATCTCAGCTACGACACTCTTGATAACCTCCTCGAGATTCTCCTCATCCAGCCCAAGTAACCGAATCGCATTCTCATCACCTTTCAACGCGTGGCCAGCACCATCGGCAAATAGGAACTGCTCGAGATAATTACCAAAGGCACTAAAGTCTCCTTTGGCAATCTTCTCGTCCCCTGTCTTTTCCAACTCAGCGCCAGTGACATGAGAAACCTCAAACTTGTCACCAGTCAGCCTCTCGACAATCTTCAGGACCTCATTCTGAGTTGTCGTAACACCGGCGATATTGAGATACTTGTTCTTTGTCTCTTCTGGCTTCTTCAGAATAGCCACCACAGCTTCGCCGACGAAGGCGAGTGAAGTTGTGGAATAGGGTTCATTGCCTGAGTCGGTGATGCGAATCTTGCGATCCTTGATGTTGATGAATCCCCTTGCACTTTTGAGACCCTACAACCCAGTCAGAAAACGCTGCCGTTTCAGTCAAAGTCAGATAACATACCGAGTCAAGGAACAGTCCGTTGGAAATACCAGTCCAAGAGAACCAATCATACTTCTCAGCAAGTTCAATCAAGTAGTCAGTGTTTTGGATCTTCGCACCGAGAATCTTTCCAATCTTGGTGTCGCGATTCTGACGAGACGGAATTCCGAACTCTGAGGGAATGAAACGTGGAACCTTCGCTGCAATTGCAGCATCGATAATGATCTTCTGGCTTCCAGCAGCAGCAGTTGCGGCGGCTGACACCACTGCATCCTGGCCGACCAGAGCTTCCTTGACGGAGTCGACGGAGGTGATGTCGACTCGCTTCACAATCACTTTGTCGGGAAATGTTGCGGAAGACTCTTTTCTGGTAATAGCTGTTACTTGGAAACCAGCTTTGAGGAGACTGTCCACGATTTTTGATCCGATGAGACCAGAGCCCTGGCTTAGTTAGTTCGGTGCCCATGGTCCTCTAGGGTAAATAACTCACTCCAACGACTGCGACTTTCTGAATGGCCATTTTGATGTTGTCAATTGATGTGCTCTTCACAATAGGATTTGATGAGAGGTGATTTGAAGAATGATTGACTATGAAGGCTTTATCTTGGTTGTTGACGTTCGTTCAACCCCGCCATTGTAATATTTTGCTGGGGATGCAACCATATTGAGCCATACACAACGCATGATTTTCATCGCTATCTCCACTTCCTCATGATGCCATACTGGCGAGAGATTCTCAACCATGGGCTAAGAGACTTGCATATCTGCAAATGGTGAGCAGTCAAATGCAGCACTCACGTCGCAAATAATCCATACCCGGGAGGAGAAGTTTCCGAAGGACAGAGTATAAGTCTCTTGCTCTACTGATTGCACTGACCCAGTGCGGACTCTTGCTTGTTGGACAGCCGAGGAGTAAAGACAATAATCCACCGTAGATTCAGATCATATTAACTGAAAATTGAAATCTTCATTTTGGCAAGATATTGAATAAGGCTATACTCGGTAATCACTAACGTCAATAAGTTATCCCTTGTCTTTTACGGAGCTTCAGCAGAGGTATCCCTTGAGTCTAGCGGAGCCTCAAGGTCTTGGATAAGGTTATACGGCACCAAGAGACGCTGTCAGCCAATGCTAAACACGTATGGACGGAGGTTGACGGTTTCGCAGCGGAACGATGCTCGCATACCTTACGCCATAGATTTCAGTAGTGAAGGACTGGATGCAGCTTCAACTTCGAAATGACACTCTGTTACTGTTAGCAACTTGATTATTTGAGAAGACTCGAATATCCAGCGAATTGCCAAGAGGTCACCTGGAATTAACGGAAAGAACCGCTATATGTCTAGAACCCTTGACGGAACTTCCAGAATCACGGAAAGGGAGAGTCATCCGTTAGTCCCGACCCTAACCAATTCCACTACCGACATCTCAAAATAGATGTCTCAGAATTAATCCCGAATCCTTAAACAGAATCAGACGATAAGCACCGCCGTGAAAAGTGGGAAATCCGCGTAACAACCATAGCAACTGAGCACCATCCCAAACAAACTTTTAAACCAAGTAAAAACTGTCAATCAATCTGACAGCACTCCCGTAGATCTTGGACAGCTACCGCATTAGAAAAAGCTCCAGTGGCTAGGGCAGACAGGCCGTTGTGCCGGGTAACCGGACGCCACTGTGGCTATCACCATGGAAAAATCTGGGGAATAGACACAATGACGTTGGCAGAAGTGCCGGTAACCTTGATTTGTAGCCTGGAGACAACTAACTTGACACGTAAACGTGCAGCAGCCACATTGTGAATAAATTATTTCCTTGATTTTTGTGCAAAAACGTCGATCAATGAAAAAAGTAATGCATAGCGGCGTAGCCACGCGAGCAAAAGTCCTTTTGCTTACAGCCACAGAAATTGGGTGAAGAATTGCGTCCTGAATTGGAATGTCAGATGCTGAGCCAGTTTCTGACCACCTCGGCTACGGCGGCTCAATCCTCCTTTCTCGTATGGCTAATCTGCATCCTTGCTTACGTATTTCCTTGTGAAAAAGCAGCGAGTAAAAATACCAGAGTCTTGTTGGTGCCTGATTCCTCTTCACCCAAAAATAGTCACATCATTGCAGGGCATGTTTTCATCTGTGGCGCGTCATTGTGCTGATGAATATTTAAGCTTTTACTGGTCACTCTGGATACTCAGCGGGAAACTTTAGGCAGAGTCGTCGCTGGCTGGCCACTGTAACAGTCACCAAATGGAGAACTTTAGTGGACAAGGTACCTAGATTTCATGGAGTCCGCGGGTCGAGCTTAATGACTTTTCAAGGCGTCAGTGTCAACCCTGCAGTAAATCCATTCTCCAAGGGCAAAGTGAAACCTCATTTCAAGAGCAGAGCAAAGGGCCCTCTTCTTACGAACCCACCAAACATAAGAGACACGCGACAGGAGAGTCAAAGCTGAGAGATCCCCCCCTTGCATGGGTAAACAAGGCCATTGTCTAGACCAAAACAAAAAAGCCCAACTTCTCCACGCTCGCCAAGAGATCGATCGACGACTATACTCAGGGGTAAGCCAAGAAAAAACCAAGGCGCCTTGCGTACTAAAGCAGTCATCGTGTAATATTTGGTAAGAGGTGCAGACAAAGCGCAGCGTTCCGCCTCAAGAAGGAATAATGGCGCAGCCTAGCGTGAAATTAAGCTGTTCCATGATTGAATGGTCGACCCATTAACATTGGCCAAGGGAGGGCTAAAAATGGGAAAAGTCGGCTAAGCGGCTTTTTTCTGCTGGTCAGCCTGGGAATAAAGGGGGGACTTTTTTTGCCCGACGACACCGGGCCATGCAAGGTTTCTTTTTTTCTGGGGAAGAAGCTGAGAGAATGTACCAGTGTTGCAACCAATTTCATGCCCTCATGCAGAGAAATGCATTGTTTTCTGCATGTGCTTATTTGTTGTTGATCAACGTGCGTCAGCAAGGAGACTTGTTGGGCCGGACACTATCGACGCCTCGTGCAAGCCATGTCGGCCCCTCATCATCACAGGAGCGTTAACCTCAGACTTTAAATTGAGAGAGACTCACAAAAAAGCAAGCGCTCAGACAAAATAGCCCATTCCTTGCATTGTCGCGTGACCTTACTCGCTGAAGCGTAATTCCCTACAGCACCGGCTTGAATCTGTTTAGCTTGGCGACCAATTCTGTGCCGTGCTGTTAATTTTACTCTGCATCCCCCTTCTTGGCCAATTGGATGCAGGGGAGCGTTCGGTTAGTCGGAGCCGTTTAGTCAGATTGAATTGGCAGATGAGAATACGAGCCTTGAAACCGCCACTGGCCGAAGAGTTTTTAGTGGTGCTGTACACCCGTCTAGCCCTACATGGATCCAATGCAGAAGTGACCGACGCCAGGGGTCGAGGAGTGCAAATTGTCCGTATTCAGCTAATGAACAAGTCATGGTTATTCCATGTTACGTAGCAGATTTAATCTGGGCTGAGCTGTGGCACACACACTCTCACAGAACACGCGAGCAGTTGCTGTTTTTACAGTAATTCCCCATTTAGTTTGATGTTTTAGTGACCTTTTAGTTAGGGGGGGTCCAACGCCAATGTAAGATTTTACGACCGTGATCCTTTTTAACGACCTTGGATCCTTTCTGCTCTACACTTGAGGCTTCCTTTTCCCCCTCTCTTGTCCTCTTTCTCGACCTCTTTCCATGGAATATTCAACTATTTTTTAATTCTGTTTTCTCTCATCCACTGGAGAGCAATCATGTTTGCGACACTCGTTCCCTTTTGTTTTTCGACGATATTTGTTTCATTGACGTTTACTAAACTGGTCCACCTTTCTATCCACGCCAAGACAATCTCTCCCGGCGCTTTCGTCCTTTTTCTGCCCTCGCTTTTACTTCCTGATGTTTTAGTCATTATCCTGTCGCGCCTGGCGCTGCGGCAGCAGAAGGGCCTTTTCTCTGTTGGAGCTTGTGTTTTGGGGTGCATATTCTCGTATGTTGTTGTCATGTCAGCCTCAATTGATCGCTGCTAATAATTGCAGATTTATTCTTCTCGGCGCATCGGCTTCACAACTGGGCTTCTTTTATTCGACAGGCAATGAGGTTAAATGGTCAGAGGCGTTGAGCTATGCTGGCGATAAAGATGGGATGAAAATTCTTCTCAGTGGGCTTAACTCTGTCCTTGCGGCGGGAGCTCTCATCGTCGTCGTGGCTTGGGTTGCGAAGTGGTTTCTCTACCGGGCCGTCGGTTCATTAATTGCAACGGTTGGAATGCCTGTTGTACATGGTACATGACCCTCTCAATGATCGTCAATTCATACTAACATTACTCCAGCCTGGCAGTGGTTCCGACACAGAAACGGTCGATCCCCTCAGTCACTAGCTTATGACTCCGACAGCGAACTCGACGAAGACCTCGAGGTCGCCAAAGAAGGCGCACGACTCATCCCCGATACTCACGAAGAATCTCGAACGAGGCCTCGAACATGGATTATTCTCGCCCTCATTTCTGTCTTCCTCTTCCTCACGACGACTCTCCGACCTGCTGCTCCATACACCATGATGTCCATGACACTCCCCGCCGCCATGCTGGAAATGTTCAAGTCTCCGGCCAAGCTGTGTAACAATGTCGAAGGCGGATGGCCCCTCCCTGATCTCATCACTCCCGATAATTGGGAGGAGCCCAATGGACGCTTCCCCGGTTGGACACCCGGTAACGACGGTGATGCTGCGCGAAAGTACCGAGACACAGTCCCTGAATGGCTACCCAGCGACATCCCCGCTGGCTTCTCCAAGTGGCTTTCCAAGCCAAACAAGACCACGGATGAGGAGCCTGCAGCAAGCCCTAGCAAGGCATGCGAAGTCCCCAAAGCCGACGGTACCTTTTACAACCCCGTTCTCGACCCTCTCAAGATCTCCAACCTCGACACCGACATCATTGACGTTATCCGCGACACTCTCAAGGGCGGCGACGTCAAGATCAAGCACGTGGCACTAATCATGATGGAGAGCTATCGCGAGGAACTCTTCCCTCTGCAGCAGGGCTCCAACTATCACAGGCTCATGGTCAAGTCGCACAAGGGTGAAGACATCGACGAGATCAACGAGAAGCTTTCTCGCATGAGCCCCGTCGCCGAGAGACTCACCGGCAAGTCAGGAAACTGGAAGAGAAAGGATGGCTCGGATTTTGAACACGTGGCTATCCCGCAGTGGAACGATACAGCGCAGGAGGGGTACGGAGGTATCAACGTTGTCGGCGGTTTCACAACGTCTTCGTTGTCGTTCAAGAGCATGGCTGCTATCCACTGTGGCGCTTGGTCCATGCCTGTCGATGGCTTTGAGGAGTCTGAGACGGATGCGTACCAGGCTTGTATTCCTCAGGTCTTTAATCTCTTTAACAAGCTCAAGGATGATAAGAAGTCGAAGGATTTCTTGGAGCAGCAGTGGTATCCTGCTTTCTTCCAGTCTATCACCGATGGTTATGATCGTCAGGATAAGTTCGACGACAAAATTGGCTTTGAGCATATCGTTACACGAGGCCGTCTTGAAGATGATCGCAAGAACGGCGAGGAACTCGAGGAGATCAACTACTTCGGTTTCCCTGAGACGACGCTCAAGGGGCACATTGAGGATTACCTAAAGGAGGTCAAGGAGAAGGGCAAGCGCATGTTCTTCTCTCACTTCACCAGCACCACTCATCATCCCTGGGGCGTACCAAAATCATTCGAGAAGACCGACTTTCTCAACACCGAGGGCAAGATGGGCTGGCACTCGGAGTTCAACGACTATCTCAACGCGATGCGATTCACCGACGCCTGGCTAGGCGAGTTGCTTCAGACATTTGATGACCACGGTCTTACAAACGAGACATTGGTTGTATTTGTTGGCGATCACGGACAGGCTTTCAAGGAGGATCAAAAGTCCAAGACTGGAACCTACGAGAACGGCCACGTTAGCAACTTCCGAGTCCCCATCACATTCCGCCATCCTCACATCCCCCGCGTTCAATACAACGCCAACGCAACATCCCTCTCCATCCTCCCCACCATCCTCGACCTTCTCATCAATACAGGCTCCCTCAACGAAAAAGACCAAAACGCCGCTGAGGACCTTATCCACGATTACGAGGGCCAGTCCCTCATCCGCCCTTATAAAGCTACCCACAACGGCCGCCGCGCCTGGAACTTTGGGATCATCAATGGAGGAGCTAGCATGTTATCAATGACATCTGCAGATGCACCGTGGCGCATTGTCATCCCGCTCGATGACTCTACACAATATAGATTCACAGATCTCAAGAACGATCCGTTAGAGAAGAAGCCGCTTGAGAAGTGGACGCTTGAGCAGTTGACGTATGCTGTTCGGAATAAATTTGGGGAGGAGGCTTCCAAGTGGGCTGCTGAGGCGGACGCTGTGTCCAAGTGGTGGGGACCTGAGAGGAAGAGGTTATGGGGATATAATCCTTCGCATAAGGAAGATTGATGATAGTATTTAAATGTAATGCGAATGTTTAATGGTTTCAATTATGTGTCTGTGTCTGTGACGTCTGTTGCGCCAGCAATGTGGATGTGACTTTGAAACGATGAGATGGACAGTCTCAACCTTGCCATCTTATATGTGACCTGGTTTGAACGAGATATCGATTGCTTCATGGTTCAAACTGAAGTTAAGAAGTAAGTGCCTTGCTTCGGGCTCGAGAAGTTATCACCATCATCCAATTGCAATCAGAGTTTGAAGTTGATCATTCTGGTATTCCCATTCCACGTCCATGTTAATGCTTCATCTATACAACAAAAGAAAATGCGCCGTTCGATCTATAACCCGACCCGATATCTCACTCCAAAACCACCCAATGCAAATTTTGATACAAATTAGCGATCATTCAATGATCTTGGTCTCCATTTAATGCCCAGCAGCTTGCTTCTTCGCAGCAAGTCTTCGCTCCTCAGCAGCGACCATATCTGCATACTGTTAGCCATTATCCGATCAATTGATAAAAGTGACTTACCCTTCCAGAGGTCCTGTCCCTCATACTCCTCCTTGTGGATCTTCTTCTCAATGATCTTTGTGGGATCATTAGGATCCACGACCCGAATGGTCTGCCATCTGCTATCACCGTTCTTAAGATCATTCATCTCAAAAACAGCAGACACCAACAACACAGCCAACGTCAAGCCTTGCGCATAAACACGAGCTTGCACAATCTTGTTCGCCGTGTTCATGGGCTGTCGACTAACAATCGCAAACGCAATACCCATTGACGCCAACCACGACGCGAAGACAATGGGATATCGGTTCTCCTTGGCATATGACTTGAAACGCTCATACGCTGACTCATTTTCTCGGATGAGTTGTGCTGTGCGCGCTGCTTGATCTTGGTAATTGCGCTTAGGATCTTGGGCGATCTGGTATGCGATACTCCATCTCTCGGCATTGACGATGGCGCCGAATGTACCCGTTGATGTCACGAGGAATGCTCTGAAGGGGAGGGTGAGGCCTCGGAAGGTTGGGTAGCGTTTTGATGCATAGTACACGCCTCCAAGACCGAGACCCAGGAAGAGTGTTCCGCCGATGAGGCCGCCCTTGACGACTTCGGCGTAGTGGGCCTCTTCTTCTGCCTTGGTGAGAATCTTCATGATTGGTGATGGTGGTGATAACGATAAGCGATAAGTAGTGTGATAAGAGATAAGGATAAGGGTAAGGATAAGCTTGAATGGGTAGGTGGTAATGTAATGTGTGTATGATGTATGGATGATATGTCCCACTACAGACTCCTGGCAAGCATGTTTATATAAAGGTATAAAGTCTGCAAATTTTACCGGGCAAAGCCGCTACGAAACGGATTCCTCATGTCATGTTGTCGCATGATTATTCAAAGTCGGGATGCTTACGCCGCAGCGAAGCCCTTGGTCATGATGCCGCACTCGCCGCAACTTCCGCTCACGGTTCCGCCCGACTGCCGCAAGTGGATGATTTGCGGCGCCGCATGGCCGCAGTTGATTCCAGAGAGGAACGAGAATTTTGTAAGGGCATATTTTTGGGTGATGAGCGAGATCATCGGGTACTGTGCTGACGATCAACGGCGATGCCGATGATATCTCCAAGGAATAGCATTGGTATGATGTATGAATGTCTCTGGGGAGGTGAACTGCATAAGATTTCACATCCTGAGCATCGCGACCATCTGGGAACAAGCAACGTCAAGATGGATGGCTAGTTTGAGAAGTATGGAAGGATTGAGGGCCACCATGGGTATTATATAACTATTCTTACAGCATTAGCGTGCTGAGGACACATTTCTCAAGCCCCGTTGTCGGCAGTCATTAACGACGGAACGAGGTCCCTGTAGCCAATGATTTGGGAGATCCGGTCTCTAGTGAAGTTTGATTATATGCTCGATTCATCTCACAACAGGTCTTGGCAGGAAACTGAACCCATTCGAGTAAGACCTGTCAGTGAAATATCACCCTCGGCCCGTATGTCCCTATCAAAGTGAGGCTTCTGGCTCTCTGCCGATTGGCGGCCCCGACACATCGCCACCCGTCTCAGATCCATACCCAGCGATCTCTTTAGATATGATATGCCGAGAGATTGCGGCACTTCGCATTCCCCATGTCACTGACGTACATGTGTGCAGGTCTCCATGCTGACGTCACGGTTTGCGGCATCCTCAGAGAATTCTATGCCGCAGCCCTACAGGGCAGACTCGCCATCTTCTCTGAGCTCTTAGTAAGCAGCGATAGCATATCGAAATGATCATTCTTGCCATTGACAAGCCGCGTAGATACTTTTTGAAGCGTAGACACAAGGTATTAAGCGAAGTCAGCACTCACGATGTATTTGTGCTCGTAAGATCTCTCCAGCCGGATTTCCCCCGCGCTTCACCATAGCATCAACCCGCGCATTTCTCTCTCCCCAACTCGTGATATCCCAGAAAGGACATCATGATCGATTCTATACGAAAAATTATAACCAGCGGGCCTGGACCTGATCTAGTTCCTGAAGAGTGCAACAGTCGTCGCTAAGCAACTTTTGTTATCCGAGAATGTCGAAGACAGCGATTATCTTGAGTAATAATCTCTGCTGTACCACTGGTGCTGAGGTTATAAGTCGTAATATTTGAAGATGTCACGCTAGTGGCAGTCATGGCGTGGCAATCAGAACCCTCAGCGATAGTGACACAGTCTGAGGATAAACCATGTTACCGAGAGGCAAATGCTGTGAAAAATATCCAGAAGAGAAGTACTTACGATCGCTAAGCCACTGATCGAAGAAAGAGTATGAACGAACTCCGCAGGTAAGGATATTTGAAGAGTCTCCTTGCGGAGACCCCTCCAGACTTCATATAATCTGGAAAAGAGGGGATCGTGGTGGTCATATTCGATCTAAAGGAGCAGGTGCAACAGGAGCAGGCTGGTAGTAAGGTTGCTGCGGACGAATAGGATAGTAAGAAAAGCCTCTCCAGCGATCCTAGCCCCCGGTAGGACTGTGGTAGTGTCTATAACTGAGGCTGCAAACGCTGTGATCGAGCCAGAACAACTTACCCCTTTGGGCATCTGAGTTAATGCCCTTCTGAAACTGAAGTATCGTCGACTTTATGATCACCAAAAGCATTAAATCAACACTCAAAGTCATCAGGTAGAGTTAAAGAGTGGCTAAATTCGACTATCCTAGCTATAAGTGTGATGCCATCGTCACAGATCTAGTATGTGCTTTCCCTCGGTTACTACAAGTGCAATACCCAGCATCAGCGTCGTGCCTCAGCCCGACCCCCATAGAGATCGTCACTTAGGCTTCGGTGACGTTGGGTCGAGTGCTCCACTCATCAGTAACACCCACAACATTGTAGGAAACATCCGCAAACTCGTCCGCGCCGTCCCGCTGATAGTAAACCTTGATCTGGAAGCTCTTCTTGTCCCCAGTCGACTGGAAAACGTTGGCAGCCAAACCGCTGACTTCACAAATAGTGTAGTCCTTGTCATTGAAATCCATTCCATCGTTCCAATCTTCGTCTTTGTCACCAACACGGATGATCTCACGGAGGAAGAGGCTGTCTCTGTCGACATAATAGACTCGGACCTTTTTGGTTGCAGGGTCAGTAAAGAAGTATATATAGGTCACGACGTGGCTTTTACCTGAGCTCTGCCGCCGCAAGACTCTGGGTGAGTAAACGCGACAGCCGAGATAATGGGCAGCTTTGGGTTGACCTTGATTGACTTTCCCTTAATCTTGAGGGTGTTCATGTCATACTTCTTCCTGGGAATTCTTTCACTGGGAGTGCGACTCTCATAGAAGATGATCTCGAAGTTTTTGTTGACTTGAAACAGAATGGTGTTGCCGTCATTCTGCGCAACAGCGACCATGTTCTAATGATCAGGTCGTCAGTATATAACTCTCAGATAAGTTATGAGGGAAGTGGTAGAGGCTACCTGAATATGAGACATATTGGCTGAGGAATGGTCCGAATGGAAGTATTGAGAGATTGGTTGTTGTGTGAAAGGGTTCTTTGGATGCTTGAGATGATCTTGTGCTGAATGAAAGAGGTCTTGGACGGGGTCAGTGAGCTTCTTTATAGTTTTTTCGACCTCCTCCTTGACCTTCTCCTTCACCTTCCCCTTGGCATCGTCCTTTTTCTCCTTAGCCTCGAGTGGTATACTTCGCTGGCCGTGAATGGTGAGTCTGATCACGACGATGACTAGGATCAAGCAACTAGTGCAAAGTATACACACTAGGACGAGGCAGATGAACAGAAGAGGCAGGATGAGGTCAGGTTCTGGGCTCGGAACTTGCATTGTAGCTTCGGTCTGTTGATCCAGCTGGTGAAAAAGTAACATTTACTGTGGGAATGAGCACTATTGGCTATGAACGAGGTCTTGGTGTGTTCTTAGCCTCAGCTCAAATCATCTCCGGATACCTTGTTGAGCTATAACATGTGGCAGACTTACTGATGAGAATTCTTGAATGGGTAAGTGGAGAGCTTCGTGTAGACGTTGGTGTGGACATATGACGAATAGGATCGTGAAAAAGGGGCATAATATCCAGACTCGGCGCATGCGTGTTCGTCCAATGTTCTCTACAAGCTGGACTATTAGCTAGCGACGCAAGCTTTCTACTAAACTCCTTAAGTAACAACTAACTGTGTTAAGAAGAAGAGAGTCTCAAGCGGCTAGTGACTCGGTTCACCAACCCGTATGCATATCGAAGCTGCCAAATCAAGCGGCAAGCCAGAGAGTTGGATTGGATTTCAGCTGGTCACTAGCCAAAAACCATCTATACAACGAACTTTGGATTGACAGAAGCTTCCATGGTGGTGACGACTACCACGCGTTACAAAATGTTAAACTTTGACCCTGAAAATCCCCTGCAACATCTTAAAATCCGGCACTCCACTTCAAGTTACCGAACGGAGACCAGCGTTGGGCCCAATCACTTGGAAAGGCGGATTGTGAAAGGGCAAGCTACTTACCGGAGCAAATCCGTAGCACAAGAAACGAAGTTCTGTGTGGGCAATATTTTGTCTTCCGAGCAGGAGAGACTTGCAGACTTCCACTCAAAGGCAAAGCACTGTTGGTTTCACCTTCACGTGTCCCATAGGAACATCGGCTTCCTCCCGCTCGGGAAGTGGGTGTAGACCTGAAGCTGCGAGCCATGACCCCTCCCCCGCTCGTTCGTTCTCTTCAAGCAGAGAAAGGGCCTAGCGGGCATTTCGGGAACAGCTACTAGGGGAGGCTATTTGATCCCGCGGAAACCACCCGCGTCTAGTGGCCTTAGTTCCGATTCTAATCAGTCCAGACTGTACAAAGTTCGATGGTGATGTTGAGCTGTCTTGGCTGTCTTTTGTTCGGCGAATGATATTGCCAAAGACTCACACATACCGAGAGCTGATGACTTAACTACCGCCGAGTAGTGTCTCTCTTTTCATTTCCTATTGTGATGCCTCAAACGCCCGTACACGAAAGCCGTTTCTTTGGGGCTGCTAATGCCGTTGTGACTTCACGATTAGAGTATGAGGATCGGCACTGTACCGATGGTCCGTCAATCTCTTACTGAGGCGTAGTTAAGTTCAAAGTCCACCCTTCACAACGGCATCGGAGATTCGGCGAGATGCGCTGCTGCAGCCCGTCAGGTGGACACGCTAATGAATGGCATGGCGTGACCTTTGCGAACCAAGGTCTAAGCGCCTGGACAGCATGCATTTCGTGAACCGATATCACGTCCCGGGCTTCCAACAAAGGGAAAAAAGGCTGGCTGATGCTCCCAAATTTCTCTAGAAGGTTTCAAATTACGAGTTTGTGGCAGGACAGGAACGGTCCGAGCGGTACGGGGATCCCAACGGTCTAATCCTGGGGAACCAATGTCAAAGCTTCATTCTCCCATGATAATAAGGTTTATACTAGCGGCCGCTCTGCCGCCGATGCCGGATTCGCGGGGTCATGATGGGTGTGACGGGTCGTAAACTATTGACGAATTATGGTAAATAGTTGGGTGATAAGGATGCAGGTTTATTGTGGCTGGAACCTGGGGGGACTGCCTGTCGGGGAATATGAGGCTGGCTGAGATGGCGCATCTAAACTCTTTTTGCGCGCCTCGACGCTGAACTAATGAAGATGCTGCATATCCCGAAGAATATCGCTACGAGCTCCAAAAGAACTTCAGGCAGCCCCTTCAAAGGCATAGCTCGTAGAATACTTATCAATGACAAAGTTTGGCTACGGAAAGTGGCGTGCTGAGCAGTTACCGATGAGCGTCGAGACCCTGCAGCTTTCGGAAACTAAAGAGAGCGACAGTCGTTTGCAACAGCGGCCTACACGAACTAGACTGAGCTGGTATTGTTCAACTACTGGGCTACAGCATCCGACAACAGTGAAAAGACAAATCTCTGCGCAGCTCATCTGTTTTGGGATAGTTCTGCAGGTATTGGTTGTTGAATGAGCGCATGATCTACGATCTAGATTGGCCTGCTGGCTACGGTTATGGATTGATGAACCTTAGTACGAAATTATTGATTCTTCAGATTCTAGCTATGACCTACACGTGGCTGTCTGGCCAAGTCCATGGCTATGTAACTTGGTGTAAACACATGAACTTGTTGATTCTAGCTATCGGTAGATCGGATCAGGGTCAACGCTCTAGACTTGCGCCTCAGCTTGTCCTCCGAGATTCATTTCATCAACAACTACTTGCGGAGACTTCAGTCCTTGCTAAGTCAAATTGACACTAATACACAAGAATGGCATTCCACAACTCCAACGTATCACCACCTCTAACCTCACACGGCAGTATCTCCCTCGTCAAACCCCTACCAATCCGAGACCTTGTTACTGATAACCTTGCCCAGCCACTTCTTATGCCCATAGCTGTACTGATGAATAGTAATCTTGGGACGTCCATTTTCGCCCTTTCCTGAGGCAAAAACCTTAATATCGGTCTTGTCAGGCCAGGTATGAACGCAGGCCGTTAGCGAGGCATCCTTGTCAACGTAAGGCCTTCCCTCCTCCTTGTAGCCAAGAAGGCCATGCTCCCATCCAGTGCTAGAGCTGAAGGAGACCTCTTGGATATAGCCTTTGTTCTCACATTGCCCCTTTTCGGGAGCAATGCAGTAGATGCGGATCTAGAAGGTCAGAGTGCCTCATGAAGGCTGGTGTCAGAACTTACTTCTTGGCCGTTTCCTCCCTGCCAAGCCGCTGCGGCGATTTGCCTGCTGCCGCACTTGACCTTCAGGTCTCCGTCTGTGAGCTTGACGACGCGAGGGTCATAGTCATCGGTTTCCGGCCCAGGAGAAAGGAGGTAGCAGAGCTGGTGATTCGAGTTGACGAAGAACACGTAGGTCATACCCTTCACATCAACCGCAGCAATGTCCCTGGGGAGCTCTTTGAATGCCTCTGCGGATGTCATGGCTGGTAGAAACTGTGTCTCGCAAATCTCACTCGCTAGTAATTCTGGTGATAGCTGTAAATTGAATGCTATGCTATGAGATCATTTAATGGTTTCGAACGAGGCGAGTGCCTGCTTTTATAGACTCCAGAACCTCATAGCTACTTTGGAGTCCTCGAACATCTCTCGTGCATGCATAGCCGTCACTCGCATTGGCTCTTGACTGTGGCTATGGCCGTAGAAGAGAGGCAGCTCGGCTCAAGACAACTCAACATTGACTCAAGACCAGAGCAGTCAGACGATATGCCTTATTTCCGGCTGTGCGTTAGATCTGGTAGTTTGGAGGCTGGCTAAACTGTTTAACGAAACTCGCGCTCGGATGTTTGAACATGTATGTACATCCAGCCAGACACTAATCTCGCCATATCTAGGCAATTTAGGAACTACTGCACGTTGTTGTTTTGTGGATTTGTCTATGTGGCTGCTCTGCATGGCATCTGATGGTCTCTCTCGTGATACATTGAGACATACTGCACGTTAGAGAAGGCCTCAAATGTCTAACCCGGACCAATAAAGATGAGACAGACAGGTAACTCTCACGGCAAGTTCGCCTAACACGCCCAAGTTCAGTGATTCTGCTCAGCGATGCAATGGTGATCTCACTATCGCCCAAATTATGTCCCTCTGAGGCGTCGTGTAGCTGGATCAACACGCACTAGACCAGCCAGCTCGAGCTACCATGCGCAGCACATTGTGTACCAATTGTGTGTGTGCAGTAGATCATTGAGGCGTACCTACTTTCCAAAAATGAACATTCAGCTCTGAAATCGGATGAGGGGAAACGCCAATCGTGCCCGTTTTAGATCCATTCTGAACCGTTGTCCGTTGTGGCTTGGTCCCAATCAGTCTAGACTGTAGATAGCCGGCTTGCTACACGTCATACCAGCCAGCCACCTTAGCAATACCACTCTCCAAAGAAGTGGATTTTGGGGTAAATAGGCTGACTTCTTGCAGTGGACTGCAGCTGAAGATGCACTATCGCCTGCACTCCATCACCAGTATCAGAGCCCTCACCTCACATAGTTCGATAATTGCTTTAGCGTTGAAGTACCTAGGCCCTATGAAACTACGCAGCAGACGCCCCCAGGGTCCTTGGAAGAGACCCTACTCCGTAGATAGCTGGGAGTTAGTCAAACTCAATTCATCCGAGAGCAGCTGCAGGCTAGGAAGGGTCCATTGCTAGATCCAGACTTTGGATAGCTGGCTTGGACCCTGGGTAAGCTCGATAGCTCTCCTGAGCTATCAAGCTGCATTTCTTTCGAAGCTGAGGTCGTTCTGATAATCCTGCTGTCCCCTCATTCTTTTTAAGCAGCCAAGTGAAGCTGCAATCGCAAGCCATCTTCCATCTCCATTCTCCTTTTCATTCCTTCACACTGTCACCAGGCTGTTCACAATGTTTGCACAATCTCTGTCACGCGCTGCCATTCTGGCTACTCTTTGTTTCGTAGGCCTCGCGTCTGCTGTGAGAGGTAAGTTGTCTTTAGACGTGGCTCCAGACCACAATTATACATGGGCCTTCAGTAACAAATTACAGAATCTGGCGATCCCAGTCCTGCTATCATCTCAGTGTCGACCTCGACCACGACCTTAAGGGCGGACGAAACCCAGACCGGTAACCCTGACGACAAGGTCATGGTACCTTGCGCTGGCCACATCACACAGTGTGGTGTTGAAGACAAAGCCAAGATTATTTACGTACCGAAATCAACCAGAACCATCACCAACAAGATTGTCACAACCTCGGTCGTGGTAGGTTTCAGTCGCAAAATCCTCATGCTCAAGACAGACATGCTGATATAGAGATTAGGTGCTTCCAACGTCAACCAGGGTCATTGAGAGCGTTACAGTTTCAACCGTCACCAACACAACTAAGGGTCAGTACATGCAAATCCAGATCCTACCATTCGGGCATAAGAAACTGACCTTCAATGACATCAAGGCCACTGTCGTGAGACTCACTATCTTCCCGGTGAACCCGTTGAAGTCACAGTCGATGTCCTAATTGTGACTACCGAGGAAATCCAACCCATCTCAAACACTACCACGTGGATCACCAGTGTTGTTACCGCCAGTGCCATCGAGCAATGTTTTCTTGAGAGATACACTATCCTCGGACGGGGTCCGGGAAGCCAGGGAAGCCCAGGTGCTTCAGCAGCAGCTGAGGCGGCATCTGCCCGCTCATCCGACAGTGTCAGCCCGGCCGCATCTACACCTGCAGCATCAGATGAAAGCCACTCAGACGATGATTCTGCCCAGCAGCGTTTGGGCACGGTTGATGATCTACCCGAGGTTATCGGGTCAGATGGAGAACCCTTGAGTTAAAGTGCCCAACCAAGGTATGACTTGACCTTCACACAGGACATGGGGTTCGAGACTGTTTGACAAGGAGTCGGAGCTTGATTTCAAGCCTTTAGTGTCAATTATTCTTTACATATGTAATATGGAATTGCAACGAGATGTAATAATTGTTCAGAAATCCACTTCTGATTCCCTTGCATTGACAATGTAGGTTTATCCTCAGATTACTAGGTTAGCACTGCTTTCTAGCGTTATAAATATCTGGAATGCTTTAACTTCCAAATGTAATACATCAACTTATAGTAGTGATGTCAAAGTACCCCCTAAAGTGTTTATGAGGATGATCGCGTTTGTGGATGCACTCAATAGCCAGCTCGGTGCTTCTCTGAAGGCCTGGATTATGAGAATACTAGTGGTTTGCAATGATGCACTTTGCGCTTGTTCTTTTAACACGAGTGGGCCTCATATTTCTCTTTACCTCCTTTTCCCATGTCGGTAAGTTTGTTCTTGGGTTAGCTAAATGGGACTTGGCGGGCTCGGCTTAGTAAACTATCATATTGTGACCACGGGAGAGAGGAAGGTGGTCCATGTAGTCTGATTATCTGACCACAAAGAGTAGTAGGTGGACTACACTAAGAAAGCACTCATCATTTTACCCATGCCATGAAAGCCCTTTCCTAGACATCTTCCGGTATGTCATAGGACCGACTATGGCATATGGCAGTCCCAGACCTTTTGTGATAGCTATCTAAATATATCCTCGCGAGCTATAACTTGAGCTGCAAACTGATATCAATATCTAAATGTCTCCCATGGGATGAAAGAAGTGAAGGGAGAGCAGTGTCTATTAAACGCGATTCTTTTGATCAAAGATATATATGCAAGAACTCTGAGCTGTAGAAATATGGAGAGATCAACTATGTTCTCAGGTTGTAAGAGAATGGAACGGATTGTTTTGGAGTGAGTGCTCATCAATGCCAGAGAATAGGGGCCTGCCATCACAACTACTTTCGTCCATCTGCACAGACCCCTGAAATTGCCCTTCCTCCAATTTGACAAATTCCTGGCAGTGACCTGTCATCTGTTGTTCGGTAGCTACAACAAAGTAGTATATCCCCGCGCTATACGCTCCGACCTCCATGGTTGGCTGTGTGTTTGCGGGGACCCCACACATGAGCCAGGCTACATCTCTCGTATCAGTTTGAAACCTGGAGAAAGATAGAAGGCAGTGAGCTACTATCGGCAAAGGGTGTTTTTTTCCGAGCAAGCGGTCCGAAGATGCTCGCATTGGTGAGCTCGCGACATTGTAGTTGAACGGTGGTGCACCTTAAATTCGACTGGCACATCTCCAATCACAGACTCTGGAAACACATACACAAACGAACTATATTTCATCAGCTTCATCAGCACGCGTCCCAACCAGAACGGTCAGCCTATCTGTGGCAGCCTCCCAGAAAACCCCTACGGAGACTACAAGATCCAGGCCACGTTGGGCAAATACGTCGCGTCTGTAGCCAACGGCGGCCACCTCTCTGCGTCAGGCACCTCGGCTAATGACGCTGATACCTTCTCTAGTGTATATGTACCTAAAGCCGGGACCCTGCAGCTCGCCAGGAGCAACCAATACGTGACGGCGGATCAGTCCGGCGCCTCTGCGCTCTCCGCATCTCGTGCAACGGCTAGTACCTGGGAGCGGTTCATCATTCGTCAGAAAATTGGTGAGAGCCAGGGTGTTTATTCTATCAAAGCGGCTAGTAATGGGAAGTTTGTGAGAGTTGGCGGTGATGGGGCGCTGGTCAATGATGGTGCGGTTGAGAACGACGCCGCTGGGTTCCGTTTTGTCAAAGCCTGAGGTGCCGCCAGAGAATTTCTTTGTGTTTTGGACTGCAAGGTATTGAGTCCTTACAGCCGGCTTACTCTCTTTCTTACTCACTTGCTTACTTGGTTCTTTCTCTTCCTCTCATGGGGAAAGATTTGTTTTCATCATTCACAAAGTGGAAAGAATACTGCCCTCTTTAGCCTATTCTCTTTGTACATCCTACCGCTTGGGTCTTCTTCTATAACCCTCTTCTTACACTATATGGATATTACATTTCCATTCAAACTCTTCGTTCAAACTCTCACAACAGTGGTATCTCAAATGCCTCTCTCACTTATCTGACTTCTTGAACAGCTTGGACAGACTTCCTCTCAGAGACATCTTCTTCGCTCCTCTCAACCTATCCCTAAAGCTCTTTTTGGCAACAGTTACGTCCTCGCCTCTCGCCTGTACTTGTATCTCTTCCTCCCGAACCTCTCCTTCACCAGTCTGCAAATGCTCCATGACCCAACAAACAGCCTCCCTCACAGCTTCTGGTTTCTCAATAATCACGTCATGACTGACATCCGGGATATGTACATATCGATTATTCCTAGAAAGTTGCAACTGTGCTTTCTTCAGTCTCTCATCTTCTTTGTCTGTCGCGTCCAAAAGCTTCTTCTGCATCAGCAGGGTTGGGCTGGCGAGGTTCTGCTCTGCAGCGATAGCTTGATCATACTGTAGTTGTTTCCATTTCAGAGTGTTGCCACGAATGACAACAAGTGGTTTGTTCCCCAAGATCTTCTTATCGTATTGTCTTTGTTCGAGTCGGGCGTCTATCGTTGGCTCTGCACCCGTCTCGGCGAGGACTATTCCTGCGACTTGGTGCGGTCTCGCTTCGAGGAAGAGCCTTGCGAAGGTGCCGCCGTATGAATGCGCGATCAGCACATATTGCTTAGGCGTGTCCCTGCTGTCGAGAAAACCCAACAGTTCGGAAATAGCTACATCGGTTCTGACATATGGATCTTGTCTATCCCAGAGCAGAAGGTGGTACGCAGGTCGAAGCAGTTCTGCTAAAGCCCCCCAAGACTTGCAGGAGTCGCCTGAGCCGTGAAAGAAGATGATCAAAGGATATGAGCTGCCTGTGTTCCCGACTATCTCAAACTTTGTGATGGTATTTTGTGTCGCTTGTGCCATTTCTTTTGTTGTTTTCAGCACGCACTTCATTGAAATGGCTGAGGCTTGACAATCGGTGAGAGTAAGCAGAGTGGGTCAATGCGACTCAACGGATTGTTGGGTTTCATTGCTGCCTGCGACATCACGAGATTGATAGCATATCTTCAATTCCAAAAAGCTGATGCCTGGAAACACAATCCATGAGCGGTGTCCAACTTATGAAGAAATGATCTCGGAATTTGCTTACTCCGGCACTCGTAATATGATTATATGGAGCAGGAGAGGAAGCTGTGTCGAGCGATGAATAGTTCGCTCGAGAGCAGATAATCCAGTGATAGCCTTAGTACACTGAAAATATTTGAGAAGAACTCACCGGATAATTTCTAGCTCGCGACTCAAGAAAATAGCTTGCAGACATTTCAGGATGAGAAGTCCTTTGCTGTTTCACGCATGATGTCACCTGCCGGGCCGTCGCACAAAGTGAGTAAGCTTGATTCAGGGTCGAACTCAACCGCCACCAACACATCGGTTCACAGAGTTTAAACCAACATCGTATAACACTAGTCACCATCCAATCAATCCATACAAAGCGTAAGCATACAACCCGTCGTAAATGATCCAACAAGAACACAAGACCGACCGACAAGAATTTGTTCCTTACCCTGCACCGCAAGCCCGCCTCTACCCGGCAATCCCGTAGCCGAGGCTTCCAATCGCCTCTCTCTCTCACAAGCAGGAGTCATCCCATTATTACTCAATTTTGTTAGCGACAGGAACAAGGCAAAAGTTCCGCCGTGAAGCTATCCACAGTCGTGCTATTTCGATCATCAGATGAACTGCAGGGTTTGTCATGATTGACATAATTGACCGAGATGGCTACGACTTGGCGGAGATGCGATGCAGCTTGGTGACAAAATAAGTCACCAATATCTCTCTGTGAGATCAAGGGCAGTGTAGGTGGTAATTTTGGCTGTAATTCAGGCCAGCAAGGATTGTCGGGAATTTCCCCATGCGCTACTCACTTCCCCATGGGAATCATGGCTTGGTCCTGGGGATTAGCACTAAGAGAACATGGTCTCCAGCAGCTAATTCGAGTGCCACCGAGTCACAGACCGAAGTCGGCCCAATGATTGGGAACAAGAGGGAGTGGTGATGCAATGGCTGCATGTACCCTCGGATGGCAAGGATGCGCCACTAACTGATCACACTCTGACACAAGGTGAGCGGTGTTAGCCTCGGATCATCGTCAAAGAGTGGTACATCTCACTTCTCGTCGCAGCCACACTCACTTCTGAAGCTCATCAAACCAACCCACGATCATTACCCAAAGCAAACGCACTCCGTCTCCCAATCCCAATTCATTCGTCAATGCCTCTCATCCGCACTCACGAACTTCTTCAATTATGCATAACGTTCGGCCCGACATTGGACCAATCCCATGCTTGACTGTTACTCACCCAGCCGATTAATTTTACCAGCAAAGTTTTCTTGTCTTTGACCTTCTGTAAAAAAGCTGGGGAAAGCTTCTGCCAACCCCGCAAATGGAGCCTCCGCCCTCAAAGATCATGCATCCCTGCACAGCATCACGCAACGAAAACCTGGTCCCGGCTCTTTTCTCGGCCATAACCTAGCTTAAGCTTGACTGCTTTCTTCAAGGGTTCACGGCAATGACGACCGTTACAGCGGGTTTTCTGTACGGAGTCTCCCTCGCTCTGTTCCTGAGCGGCGGAGTCTCCGCCGGCCTGGAAGGTAGCATGCATCATGACGAGACGATTCAAAGTCACCATGCCAAGAACGAATCTGTATATATAACCAAGCATGATGGCTTGATGGTTTTTCTTGCTCAGCAACCAGCTCTTCTCATTTCAATCATGTTCTTCAAGACGCTGCTCACTTCAGCCGTTGCCTTTGGCACTGCTTTTGCGCAGAGCAAGGCTGGCGTTGAAGACCTCGACAAACCCCGCAGAGACCTCTTCGAGAAGGATCTCTCTAAATGTCCCGGCTACAAAGCTACCAACCACCGGGAGACGAAGTCAGGCTTCTACGCTGACTTGTCTCTTGCGGGACAGGCCTGCGATGTCTTTGGCATTGATCTCCCCGAGCTGAAGCTCGAGGTTGAGTATCAGACTGAGGACCGTCTTCACGTCAAGATCTTGGATACGAATAACACCGTCTACCAAGTACCTGATGATATCTTCCCTCGTCCTGGCTATGGACAGTGGGCTTCGCCTAAGAACTCGAAGCTTAAATTTGACTTCAAGGCGGATCCTTTCTCGTTCACTGTGACGAGGAAGGATTCTGGGGAAGTGCTTTTTGACACTTCGGGTAGCAAGCTTGTTTTTGAGAGTCAATACTTGTATCTCAAGACGAAGCTTCCTGAGAGGCCTTATCTTTACGGTCTTGGTGAGCACAGTGATCCTTTCATGCTCAATGCCACCAACTACACCCGCACAATCTACACTCGCGATGCTTATGGGTAAACCACTTAACCTTTCCCATCAATTTGATGCGATTGCTAACACGTTTCAGTTGCCCCAACGGACAGAACCTTTATGGAGCTCACCCCATTTACTTTGACCACCGCAAGGGCGGCACCCACGGTGTCTTCCTCCTCAACTCCAACGGCATGGACGTCTTCATCGACAAGAAGAACGGCAAGCAATTCCTGGAGTACAACATCATTGGCGGTGTTCTCGACTTCTACTTCATCGCTGGTCCTACGCCCCGCGACGTCGCCAAGCAGTACGCCGAGATCACCACCCTTCCTCTCATGACGCCCTACTGGGGTCTTGGTTTCCATCAGTGCAGATATGGATACCGAGATGTCTACGAAGTCGCAGGCGTGGTGGCCAATTACTCTGCTGCTAAAATCCCGCTCGAGACTATGTGGACTGACATCGACTACATGGACCGTCGTCGCATCTTCACTATCGACCCTGAGAGATTCCCTGCTGATAAGTACAAGGATCTCGTTGACACTATCCACGCTCGCGATCAGCACTACATCGTCATGGTTGATCCAGCTGTGTATGATATGGAGCCCAACCCAGCTCTCACCAGCGGTCTTCAGTACGATACTTTCATGAAGGAGCCTAATGGTTCAGACTACAGAGGAGTTGTCTGGGCTGGACCCAGTGTCTTCCCCGATTGGTTCAACCCGAACTCTCAGCAGTACTGGAATGAACTCTTCCAGAACTTCTTCGACGGCGAGCATGGTCCTAATATCGATGCTCTCTGGATCGATATGAACGAGCCCGCCAACTTCTTCAACCGTCCTTATCCCGGCAACAACACCACTCCCGAGAACTTCGCCAAGGTCGACGGTGATCCTCCCAAGGCCCCTCCCGTCCGAGACGGCCCTCCTGCTCGCATCCCCGGATTCCCTGAGAGTCTCCAGCCGCCCTCCCTCCGCTCCACCAAGCGCGAAGTTGCCACTGTCGCCAAGACCACCAAGCGCTCCGTCGAAGTCCGCACCACCCCTCGCAACCGCGGTGTTGGTCGCTGGGCAGCTACCCGCAAGGTCTGGGGCCAGAACAAGTACGGTCGTCCCGGCCACGGCTGGCAGAACGGCAAGAAGACTGGCTCTGGCTGCGGTCCTGACGAGTGCAAGGGTCTTCCTAACCGAGAGCTCATCCAGCCTCCTTACATGATTCAGAACGGCGCTGGACCTACACTGGCTGACAGTACCACCGACACCGATCTCGTTCAGAGTGGAGATTACGTTCAATATGATACGCACAACTTGTATGGTGCTCAGATGTCTTCTCACTCTCACAACGCTATGCGTGCGCGACGCCCTGACAAGCGTGCTCTCGTCATCACACGAAGTACCTTTGCTGGTTCCGGCAAGGATGTTTCGCACTGGCTTGGCGATAACCTGTCTCAGTGGGATCAATACCGCTTCTCCATCTCTCAGATCCTGCAGTTCGCTTCTATCTACCAGATTCCCGTTGTCGGTGCTGATGTCTGTGGATTTGGTGGCAACGTCACCGAGACCCTTTGTGCTCGATGGGCTACCCTTGGAAGTTTCTATACCTTCTTCCGTAACCACGCCGATATTACTTCTCAGTCTCAAGAGTTCTACCGCTGGCCCAAGGTTACTGAGGCTGCTCGCAATGGTATTTCCATCCGATACCAGCTCCGTAAGTCACCGATGCCCCTCATTTGAACAATCGCTAACAGGAACAGTTGACTACATCTACACTGCCATCTACAAGCAGAACCAGACCGGTACTCCTACTCTCAACCCCATGTTCTTCAACTACCCCAAGGACAAGAACACCTATTCCATCGATCTCCAGTTCTTCTACGGTGATGGTATTCTCGTCAGCCCCGTCACCAAGGAGAACAGCACCAAGCTCGAGTACTACCTCCCCGATGATATCTTCTACGAGTGGTCCACCGGCAAGCCCGTCCGCGGTAAGGCTCAGTACGAGTCCGCCGAGGTTGACGTCACCGACATCATGGTCCACTACAAGGGCGGCCTTATCTACCCCCAGCGCGTTGAGAGCGCCAACACAACCAAGGCTCTCCGTCAGAAGGGTTTCAACCTCGTCATCGCCCCTGGTCTTGACGGAAAGGCCGAAGGTTCTCTGTATCTTGATGATGGCGAGTCTGTTGTTCAGGACACTGCTTCTGAGATCGATTTCAAGTACAACAAGGGCAAGTTGAGCTTCGATGGAACTTTTGAGTATGATGCTGGTGTTGGTATTGAGACCATTACTGTTCTGGGCGTCAAGTCTCAGCCCAAGGGTACGGACCATGCTGAGTATGATGCTAAGAACAAGAAGCTCGTGTTTACTGCGGATATTCCGTTGACGCGCAAGTGTCACGTTGACTTGTTCTGAGATGAACAGGATGGGACCTGGTAATGATTATGATTCTAGCTATGACGATAGTTCACGGAAAGTATTAGCTTTCGTCTGACATTTATGAATAAATATTAATCGATTATTCTTGTGGATGTCTGCTCTTTGTGACCTCCAAAAGCGTGTAAATGTCGAGAATATTGCTTGAAGATCTATTGTTAGGATAAAAGTCTTCCAGTAGCCACTAATTCAGTACGAGGACACAGAAAGGTTAAAGCTCATACAAATGGAGTGAAACTCAAAGAAATTCCTGAACAGGCTGTAGAATTCCACTGAACGTTATAGCCTATAGGTATTATCGAGCAAATCTGTTATCGAATGACAAGGGCTATTCAATTAGTAATTGACCAACGCCATGCGACTGCCCAATGATATAGAGTTGACGTAGTAATGAGTGATGAAGAGAGTGGAGATGTGCGTTGACGTTGTCCGATATGGGGATGGTCGCAGGTGGTTTGCTGACTTATTTTCCCGAATAATTTAAGCGGCCGATGACTGAGCCATCTACCACTACAAAACCCCATGATGCAAACTTCTCTGCCTTCATCCAGGACAGATCATTATATTTCTGGGAAGCATTCAACATGGCCACGACTCATACCACTCTCCAAGCGCCCTTCGAGACACTTTCCCTGGCAAGCAGTAGCCAGAATGAAGATCCCCCAGAGACTCGTCGGGCGGGGCGAGTCTTTGAAACTGACCCTGCATTCACGACAAGTCCAGCATCACGTCGACTGATCATCTCGCTACTGGTTTGTGCAAATACGATTCAGGTAATTGACCCATTTGTATAAGTTTTAAAGTTTTGGTGAATCATGTACTGATCTTTCCTCAAGTTCATGTCCAATTGTGTCACCATCGCTGGCGGTCTAGCTCTGAGTAAAGATCTGGGGCGTGAATCAGGTCCCGGCAAGGCGAACTGGATGGTCGCTTCGTATCCGTAGGTCTATTCCCTCTCATTCTCTCTTGTATACGCTTCTGATATCTATAGACTCACTCAAGGTGCATTCGTCCTGGTGACTGGCCGACTGGGCGCCATCTACGGCCACTCTCAACTCACCCTTCTCGGCTGTGCAATCTTCACCCTCTTCTCTCTCATCAATGCCTTCACCAAGACATATGACTCTTTCATCGCCATGCGCGCTTTGACAGGTGTTGGTGGCGGTGTCTTTATGCCCAATGCCGTCTCAATTATTACCACCATGGTTCCACCAGGCCGATCGCGAAACGTCGTTTTGGGTTTCTTCGCAGCGTCGCCGCCTCTGGGAGGAATGATTGGCGCATTAATCGCGGGTGTGTTTATTGATAATGTGAATTGGGTGTGGCTTTTTGTTCTCATGTAAGTATGTGTATTGTTGCTTCTTGAGCCATGATTAACTTGTCCATTAGTGCTGGTATCGCGGCTTTCAACCTGGCTTGGTTGGCGTACCTCATGCCGAAGGAAACCCCAGTTGACAAGGGTGGGCATATCGATATTCCTGGAATCATCTTGGGACTGGGAAGTTTACTACTCTTTAACGTAGTATGCAAGTGAGTTCGAGTTGCCCTTCACAGTCTCATCTGTGACTGACCATCGTAGCCATGCACCATCAGCTGGATGGAACGCGCCCTACGAGATAGCCCTGCTGGTTCTTTCCGTGGTCATGTTCCTTGCCTTCCTGCTCTGGGAGAAGCGTTATGCCAAGGACCCCATCATGCCATTGTCAGTCTTTCAAGCGCCGACCTTCACAGCTTTGGTCTTTGTTGTGCTCTTGGTACGTCTTGCCACTGTCGGACCTCTCTCAGCGGTTGATACACTAACGCACTAAACAGAGCTACATGGCATTCGGAATCGGGCTTTGGTACTCAACAAGCTGGCAGTACCTCCTGCGCGGAGTATCTGTCACCCGAATTGGCATTCATTGGGTGCCATTCGGGCTCAGCTCTGTGCTCGCTGTATTTATCGCAGCATGGCTAATCCCCCGCGTTGCAGCGCAATGGATCATGGCGATCGGTGTGACTGTTACTCTGGTTGGCAATATCCTCCTCGCGACAATGCCAGTACAACAAACGTACTGGGCGCAGGTCTTCCCAGCCATGGTTCTCTACGGTTTCTGCCCCGACTTGGTATACGTCGCCGCACAAGTGATTGCCAGCAACAGCGTCAGTCGTCGTCAACAGGGCGTAGCGAGTAGTCTGATTGGAACTCTGAACCTTTACGGAAACAGTTTAGGTCAAGGATTTGCTGGGACGATTGAGACGGAGATTGGGACAAACAACAACGATGAGGTTAGAGGATACAGGGCAGCTCTGTATTTTGCGGCTGGCCTGGCACTGCTTGGCTTGGCTTTGGATATCTTGTTTGTCAGGGTGCCGAAGGATCAGCGCGAAGGATGGGATGATCCGTCCGATAGCGGTGAACAAGAGCTGAATGGCATGACTACCGCTATTGAGGGACGGGCCTCACTGCGAACTTGAGCCGTGTGTTGGAATGAGAAACGGTGATTTGAAAGAGAGGACATGTTGGCTCAAAATAAACACCTATTCAGTCGAGGTGGACGGTCCACTGTTTCTCCCCTTTGAATCCTTGTATGGGTCCGACCGTGGGGGAAGGATGAATCAGACCAGACCCGTCGTTGCCTGAGCATGGAAAAACAGCATTCATAATCTGCCTGTATGTTACAATGTCTGCTTGAAGCTAGGAGGCAAAGGATCTTGAACCCCGACATAGTCCGTCGGTCGGGTTTCCTGGCTAAATATAACTACATGATAAGAATTGGAAATAACAAGAATGAAAACCTGGAAGTGTCTAAGCCTTATGGGCCCATGGTCAATGCACAGCAAAAGGACCCAAAACTCCGTTCAAGAACAGCCGATGCTTCAAGGGTAACACTGAAGGATCGCACCCAAGACCTTTAGCGAGAGGTCTGCGCAATGCCCGATTCGCCAGGCTGCTGAAGGATTCAAGACGAGACAGGTCCTTATTTCGATTAAGCTGTTATGGTAACCTCGACCCAAAATGCTCTCCACCTGTCAATGCATTAAAGATGTCGAATTTCCATTCTTCAGGTTCCATTGCAAAACACTCCAACTTGTTCACATTGTCGACGATCAAAATGCCTTTCTCACAGAACTTCGCGTCGAATATGCTACGACGACGAGACGATGACGAAACAGAAGATGGTTGGTGCGAATTCGCGACCATTGAGGATCAATTTCTCTGGCCTGGTGAAGGCAAAACTTGGGTGCGTGGACAAACACAGATGGTAGGCTGGGGAGCCGGGCGCGACATCAACGGAACATGGGGCGAAGGGAGCACCAAAGTCAAAATGGAGTTGAGGTGGTGGACAGGGACATATGGCCCAGGCCCAGACGATCTAAAACCCATAGTGATATTTGGTAAGTCTGGTATTGGATCTCGTAACAAAAACAATGCTGACTGAGTATAGACAACAAGACCTTTGACTATCCTTCCTCTGACTGGAAACTATGGAACCCCAACTGCACAGACACATACATGAACTACACTTGGACAATACCTATGGATTTGGACGTTGGCGACTCGAAATTCACAATGACGGTGTACGACGTGACGAATCGCAGCGATATGAGCATGTTGCAAAGCAATTTATTCTTCATCAACGCGGATAACGGAACATCAACAGCAGATTCAAATGCTAGCACCTCAACACCAGAATCTTCACAAGAAACATCAGCCTCGACAGGACTTGCAACCAGTGCAAAAGCCGGCATTGGCGCAGGTATCGGCGTCTTGGCACTAATTCTTCTTCTCGCCGGCTTCTTCCTCTACCGACGCAAGAAGCGACAAACAGCAAGCATTGCCCCAACAGACGGGTTTGAAAAGCCAGAGTTGGATGCAAAATCGACTGGCATTTCTGAAGTTGATGGGAGCGGGATATCTCCGCACCAAGCTCCGGATAACGCGATATACGAGGCACCCGGGGTTTTAGTCCATGAGGCTCCAACTGGAAAGGAGCAGACGGTGGTGGAGAAGATGAAAGCAGCACGTCAGATTAATGAGGAACCGATTGAGATGCCGGCGGATTCACCTATGTCGTCGCCGAAGACATCGCAGGACAGACTGAATAGGACATAGTATTAATATAAATTCGGTAGCGTCGAACCTGAGTCCCTGCGTCTCACTCGGTGAACCACAGTCTCAATTGAGGCCACCCAATTCCTAAAGAACGGGTCGACGTCTTTTATCCCAACATCTTCAGCGTCGCAGTAAAGAATGAAGTATCTCATCACCACGTGCCACAGCAGTCTGACATTCGTGGTTAGTGTATCACTAGCAAGCCGACCCCTGCTATAAGACCTCACACTAAGACGTCTCATCCCCGCGCCTCATCTGACGCCGCGATAAATATAACGCGTCGAAGCCTCCGTCCTTACCACGGCGCGCGATGTCCTCAAAGCTCTGTGCACCATGTCGAGATGCATTTCTCTCCGAACCAACACGTCTGTACCGAGACTCCACCATTAGCTATTCTCCCTTTCACGAGGCGCCGTGGAAAGCCTTCCAGAAGAATGCAGACTCATCTCAAGACATAACCGAGTCTGTGCAAGCTTGCGCCTTTTGCTCCTTCGTTGTCGCGTTCGCAGCGGCGGACCAAGCCCTTGGCGAGGATGGGAACGGATCCTTCGCGGATGAAAGCAAAGCGACCCGGAAGGCAAAGGGGGAGCCGATGTTAGCTCTGTGGCAGTATCATATGTATACATATGAAGGCCACCTTTCGGCGGATCTCGGTCTTAGGAGGCATAATCTTCGCTATATTGATGGGCTTGATATACGGCTCTTTGGGACTGATGGTGGGTTATTTGGCCGTTGCTCATATAGTTAAACTAATTTGGTATAGATCCTCGTGTGAAATGTCACAGACCAATTGACAAGACGTCAAAAAGTACATCCAGCGAAGCTAGTTTCGAGTGCTTATCTAAATGGATCAATAATTGTTCGGATAATCATAAATCATGCAACAAACTACATGCCCGCACTGGTGAGAACAGGGAATGGCTTCCAGCTCGACTGGTCAAGATCATCCCAAATGCAGATGGCGTGCCTGAGATTATCAAAGTGGTAGAAACGGACAGAAGCAATGACCTTCCACCAAAAATAGAGTATGCTACGTTAAGCTACTGTTGGGGAAGACAACCTTTCACCAAACTACTCAGATCCAACATCGAGAGCATGGCGACTACTGGAACGCCTGTCAAAGACCTCCCTGCAACATTCCGTGATGCAATAACTGTCACAAATCGTCTTGGTCTGGAGTATATCTGGATAGACGCCCTTTGCATTATCCAGCTTGATGCAGAAGACTGGAGTTTGCACTCGGTGACGATGGCGAAAGTTTACTCATACTCAGCAATAACACTTGCTGCAGCAGCATCATCGGACGCACATGGGGGACTCTTTCGCGAACGCAACCCTGCTGGCATCAATGGTGCGAAAGTCAATCTCAAATGGCCATCACACGAGCTTGAAGGGGAATTTTATCTGGTACCAACAGATCCCTGGGAGAAAGCAGTTGCAAACTCGCCACTGTTGAAGCGGGCATGGGTATTCCAAGAACGTCTTCTATCACGAGGAACCGTTTACTTTGCTCACGATATGCTTTATTGGGAATGTGGCGAGCTCTACGCTTCGGAGCTTTATCCTGAGGCAGGACCTTGGGATCTGCAGTACCGATACAAGAGATTCGATGTTGCTGATAGGCTTCCCTCTGGTGTGCAGTCAGTAGAGGACTACAGGTTCAAGCATGTATACACAGAACTTCTCACGCGAGAACTCAACGCAGAGAAGACAGTTACGGATGAAGAGATGTTTCTCTACGTATGGGCCTCAGTGGTAGCTCAGTACAGCGTCGGCAAACTGTCGAAGGAGACTGATAAGCTCATTGCTATTGACGGTGTAGCTGAGCAGTTGACGAGTATTGTACCGAGAGAGCAGTATCTCAAGGGACTCTGGAAACAGGAAAGTCTTCCGCTCTCTCTACTATGGCGCACCGAAACGGAAGAGGAACCGCCGAGTACCCGCGTCGCGCCGAGTTGGTCTTGGGCATCTGTTTATACGCCAGTTGACTTCAACTTCTTGTTCCGAGCGCAGACTGAACCCAAGGTCGTCACGAAAGTCATCGATATCATCACCCCCGACAATGAGCCAGAGAGTCTCGAGATATCACGCCCTCCGGCACTTGTTCTTCAGGGCCCTCTCACCGAAGTGCGCTTTAGATCTGCTTCACGCAGTGCACTAGGACCCTTGCATTCAAACTGGTGGAAGAGCCACAACACGATAAGAAATCGCATCAAGTTCTTGAAACCACTTGACCTGACGCCTAGACTTGTATTCATGGGGAAAGGCTTGAAGGCCGATTATCCATGTGCTATCTGGTTAGATAGGGAGGTGCCAAAGAATAGTCGAATATTCGCGCTCAAGATCGCGGAAGCTGATATTAGACATCCTTGGCAGGAGAGGTTACCATCTGAGTGCGGCTTATTATTGATCACTGATCAAGAAAGAGGGGCTTTTAGGAGAATTGGCACGTTTGAGATTGCTGTTGAGAAAATGAAGAGGGACTGGGCGGACCAAAAGACATCGTTCACGGCGGTATCTAAGTTGAGAGACGGAATATGGAGTGATTCAGGTATAGACAAGAGGTTTTATTTAGGAAAGGATGAGAAAGACGGATATACTATCAAGATAGTCTAATAATGAGGTTCCATGCCGTTGATATTCTTGATCATATGGGAGGCCAGATGTGTTGTTTGCAGTTGAGATCCGTGGCTGAGAGCTTATATCAGCACAGAGAACTTAGCATATGGGAGGCCCAGTGCAAGCAACGTGGGTCGGAAAGAAGATTTAATTCCAACTATCAAAATGATATGGAAAGTTTTGGGAATGAATCGTGTATACGGAGTACTGACAGGGTCAATTCTGGGTGAATTTGTGGCTGTGAGCTGAACCGAAGCCATTTGGCTCTGGCGCTAGTGATACGCAACGACATGGACACGGCAGGGACCTCGGCATATCGGGCACCGCGGACGGTTACGGAGGCGGTCAGTGGCTCAGCCATACTAATCAGGATTTACAGTTTAGCAGGAAATTACCGTATGCAACACGAAAATTGAGCCTCGTGGCACAAACAAGAACGTGCGTGAGTCGGTCTAAAATGATTGGTGTCACATCAGCATCACAATGATGCCGTCCAACAATACTTCAATCTCAATGGATCATTGAATCTATTCGAGGCCCGAAATGTCTCATATTCACCGCCAGTTCTCATTATTTATGCTGCATTACCCTATAATTCAGAAGAAAATACCTAGCGCATAAGCCACCCACCAACATGTCTCAAGCTGCCTCATCTTGGCACCAAACAATTAAGCTCACAACGCGCCTGCGCACACGCGTCCGCTTGCATAACTCAAACCAACATAACTTTAAGCCAAGCCACGAATACTCTAGCCATGGCCGGGCTGTAGATCCACCCGCTGATCGATGACGATGTGCCAGCCACTAAAACTGCCGTGATTATTATCTCATCCCTTTGTACTACACATTCCTCCTTCTCCTCCTTCACCTATCTCACGACATCTCACACCTACTTCTCTGTATACGATACCAACCATGGCGAGAATTGCAGAGGGCTTGCCGCGGGCTGGCTCGACGACTACCATTACGACGCAGAGAAAGAAGAAGCCGATTGAGGCGAAGGCGCTGACGACGGAGGTTCAGATGTTGGCTGGTGCTGATGTTTGGGGTCGTGCAGCATTTGGGAGGTCGTGGCTGCGATCTCTTGTTGGTGCATCGCCTTTGTTTCTCGCACCGATGGCTTCGATATCCATATTCATCACATTGGCCGAATACGAAGGATCACTATCCCTCTTCGCAGACGCTGTGAAAGAACACGGTTTCTGGACCATTTGCGCCCAGTACGGTCCTCACCTCACCACCAAAGGCATCGCCGCAGTAATCTGCTGGGTCGGAATCCAAGCCCTTCTGTACTGCCTACTACCCGGAGAACAACACCAAGGCCAATTAACGCCAGCTGGCTATCTCCTCAACTACAAAATCAACGGCCTCTCAGCCTGGATCGTCACGCATCTCCTTTACGGAGTTCTCAGCTGGTTGGGGATTCTGGACCCTGGCTTCATTCCCCGCAATTGGAGTAGCTTGATTGGAGCTATGAACCTAGCCGGATTCGTTATCTCGGCACTTGCGCTCGTCAAAGCGTACGTAATGCCGACGCACCCAGAAGATAGGAAGTTCAGCGGTGAGACCACCAGTTTTTGAGTTTTGAGTGTAATTAAACGCTAATTTGATATGAACAGGGTCCTTCCTATACGACTTCTTCATGGGCATTGAGTTGAATCCGCGGTTGGGTGAGAATTTTGACCTCAAGCTTTTCAGTAATGGCAGGGCTGGAATGATGGTGTGGACCCTGATGTAAGTCTGATCACTTTGATACGAGAACGCAAACTTACATGGGGCAGCGACTTTTCGAATATGGCGTATCAGTACCAGAACCAGGGATATGTTGAGCCATCGCTTATCCTTGTCACCGCATTGCAGACTCTCTACGTGGTAGATTTCTTCATTAATGAATCTTGGTATTTGCGCACAATCGATGTCAAATTCGACCATTACGGCTTCTATCTCAGCTGGGGCTGCTTCTGCTTCTTACCAACAACATACACGATCCAAGGCCAATATCTCGGCTGCTACCCATCATCAGCTCCAACACCTTACCTAGCATTCTTCTTCACCCTCGGAGTAGCAGGTTACATTATCTTCCGCTCCGTCAACCACCAAAAAGAAATCGTGCGACGAACAGGCGGAAAATGCACCATCTGGGGTAAACCAGCAGAATGCATCGTCGCATCCTTCAGGACCTCCGATGGTCGGCAGCACAGGAGTCTACTCCTCTGCAGTGGTTGGTGGGGATGGTCTCGGCACGCGAATTACCTGGGCGATCTGATTCTTAGCTTCAGCACTTGTGCGTTGGTGGGTAGTACGAGGGCTGTGGTGTGGACGTACGCGGTGTGGATGACGGTGTTGCTTGTGCATCGATGTATACGTGATGAGAAAAGCTGCTCGGTTAAGTATGGTGCTGCGTGGACCGAGTATTGTAGACGTGTACCTTGGCGATTTATTCCTGGCGTTTGGTGAGATTTTGGAGCTTCAGGACCTTGGTCGAGGGAGATTTGTGCTACGTCTGGTGTAAGGTTGTGAAACAGCGTGGGTAGATGGTGTTACTTGTGCCCGGAGTGAAAGCTCAGCCCAGGTCTAGACTCGATAGATTTAACTTGTTGTGCAGTTTATACATATTATACTCGCCAATGAGAAGTTTTTCTCTGCTTGTGTAACGAGCGTGTTACCACATCGCTCGTAACTTGCATCAAGGGATCACGCTGTCTGTTGAACACATAGATTGGCGGGAGAGGTCGCATGTAGGCATCATCACCGCCTTTTTCTTCCCGTCTGCTGTCTCAGTCTAATCATCATGATGTTGGTCAAAGTTACACCATCCTTTTCCCTTACTCGAATTCTGCCATGTATGGGGTCTACCAAGTTAGCCTTGGTGCAAGTGCTCAAATAGGGAGATAGACAGTGCCTTGAGGGTACATATTAGTCGTATCTGTCCAATGTTCGAAGCTGTCCCCTGTCATAGCTCATGCAAGCCGTGTTAAGCCATGGAGCGGCATAACCAAATTCTCCAAGATATTGCAGACAAAATACGCGACTTCTACAAGCTCCGCCAGCCATATCGCGTTTTTTCAAGCAGTACCCGTCCTCGCCATGCCACTGACACGAATATTATCGACATCAGCATGCTATCCCAAGTTATCTCCGTGGACTCCGCGCAAAGAAACTGTCTTGTGGAGCCCAATGTACCGATGGACCGACTCGTCGAAGCCACGATGCCATTCGGCATAATACCTCCAGTCGTTATGGAATTCCCCGGGATCACAGCAGGAGGGGGCTTTGCGGGGACTTCTGGGGAAAGCAGCTCATTTCGACATGGATTCTTCAACGAAACTGTCAACTCTGTGGAAATGATACTTGGAAACGGAGACACAATTCGGGCATCGCGCGAAGAACATGAAGATCTGTTTCATGGTGCTGCGGGCGCTGCTGGGACTTAAGGCTTGACGATATTGATGCAGGTCTGACTGGTAGAGGCGAAGCAATTTGTCAAGACAACGTACCACAGAGTTGGCAACGTGTCAGCCGCTATCTCTACAACAAAGAAGTGTTGTGAGAATGTGGACGTCGACTATGTTCACGAAATATGGCCACTTTGGCTTTGTCCTCTGAAAGGCTGTCGAACACCTACTTTCCACCCTGTTACGAAAGGCTCTTCAGATACTGGCACCGGGGATAACATGTCGCAGCCGATGCTCAACATTGGTGTTTGGGGTTGGGGGCCCTTAGACCCAGAGGAGTTCAAAACAAAAAACGAGGCTCTAGAGAAGAAGTTGATGGAGTTGGGTGGTCGAAAATGGCTCTACGCACATACTTACTACACCGAAGAGCAATTCCGGGAATTAAACGATCGCTGCTGGTACCAGGAGCTTAGAGAACGCTATTTTGCCAACCGTCTACGACAAGGTGAAAAAGAGTGGCCTTGATGCGAATGAGAGGGATGACAAGGGTTGGGGACTCGAAACTTTGTTGAATAAGTGGCCCATTGGTGGAATCTATGGCATGATACTGGCGTTTTACTCTGGGGATATCAATCTCCATCGACGAGCGAGATGGAGGTATGTGAACCAGTAGTATACCCGAGGTTGAGTCTATCTCAAGCTGGTTCCTCCAATTGATCTATCATTCGCGGGGAATTTCCAGCTTGGCAGGGATCTCGGTGTTGCGCCAAGTTCTAACATACCTTCGTTGCTTCAGAGCCAAACAATACAAGACTCTCAACTCCGACAAATATTCATGATATTTTAGATAACACCGCATAGTCCAACACGCCTGTATATTAGTCACAGTTATGTTATTCACAAATACGTTCTTATCAATTGGGCTACCGTAATGCTTCCCGACTCCAATGCTGACATGCAGATCAATATCTTGGCAGACGGCGGCGTGCATGAAGATGACGTTTCAGTAAGTAAGGCTCTCCAGGCAGCAAGACACAATCACAATCTCAACCTCTGCTCTAATCATCCAAATATCCCCCGTTATCAGGAACTAAGCCTAAAGAAGACCCTCGCTTTCGTCGAAATGGTAGAAAGGAGTTTCCAGTACCTCCCGAGGCTCAACTTCACCGACAGCCCATTCAAACAATTCACCATCCCCCAGGACTGGAGAGCATGGGAGGTCGCATGGCTTTATCGCCTACCCGCAATCATCACCCATGCTAGCTATCCTGCTAGATTGATCGAAAGCGGATGTATCGTCGACAATGTTACCAATTGTCATAAAGCGTGCGGAAGCGAAGAGCACATGTTTTCGAATCCCGAAACGCTATGGAACTGCCTTACTTTGGCAACTGTTGCTATGATGTCTACCAATCGTGGGCCCGATACCATCAGCAACCAGACATTAGAAGAAGTGGATAGGAAGTTTAACACCGGCCCGCTGGACGAGTTCTGGAAACTTGGTGCATTGTTGAGCTACGTCAAATGTGCGCTACAGTCTTGTTCAGACTCCAAGTTCGGCGGTTGTCCGCCGGAATTGTGGACGTTTCAATGTCAAATGATCACATCTAAGAACATCAAGGACCTGGGCAGAATCATGAGTACCGAGTACTGCGACAAAGCTGATCCTGGAATTGACTATGATATTGCAGGGCCTGGTGTGAGTTCTGCAGCACCGAGAATGAAAGATTTTACTGATCACATATAGATCATCGTGGCATATCTGATTCAGTTCACGATAGTCCTATTCTTTGCTTTGTGCTACAAGATCACCAAGGCCTGGATACGGAACTTCACACTGATTTCACTTCTCCCTTTTCAAGGACCTGCTGGAGCCGTCGAGACAGCATTTCAATGGCAGAAAATGGTTTCAAGAAGTACCTTTGGTGTTGCAGTGGCATCAACACTTGTCGATCTGCAAGAAGCTCAAGCTGTGTTTCTCGGCACTATCTCTATAGCCGCTATCATCACCTTCTCAAGTTCTAGCGGAACGGGACTTGGTAACATCAGTTCACTCCTCTCCTGGCTGACAAACAACCTCACTGTGAGGGGCATGGTGTCGGCGGGAATGTATCCCCTACTGTTTGTGCAGCTTATTATTCAAAAGACTCACAATCGCTGGTGGTATACACTTGTTCTTGTGTTTATCAACTGGGTCCTTATTGTGCTCATTGCTCGGCCCCAGACTGTCGATGAGTCTTCGCTACTAGAGCACTTTACAGACTCATCTCCTTTGGAACGCTGCGGGAATCATACTGGGCCCAGGACGTTTTGTCAGACTTTCAACAAACCCGCAGAGAGAGGTTCTAGTTCCACTACGGGTGAAGAGTTAGGTCATCTGGATCGAGATGCGGAGAGCTTCTTCAAGTTTCATTCTAGGATACAGGCACCAATGCATGTAATTATGGCATTCCTGATACTTGATTGGATCCTTGCCATGATTAGGATGCACCTCTTCGAACGGGGTGACTGGTTATCCCACAAAGCCCATGCTTTGATGGATAGCTTACCGTTGCGTCTGAAGTCGTTTTGTACCCGGAGGTACTTCGTGCTCTTCACAGAGGCTATCTGGATCTCCATGGAGGTCCTCACTATCGTCATGGGCGCAATTGGAGTACATGAGTTTGCGGCATTCATGCATCTACTCAGCGGCGGGGAATCGGGCAACGAGAGCAAGGTTGCCCTGTCGAAATGGGGTTTTGGACAACTGGTAGCAGTTTGCGTCTGGGTTCCTGTTATCCTCAAATTCGCTTGTCTCATGGTGGGTAAGTTGAAATCCCTCTTTTATCCCTCCAAGTCTGCGTTTATAGCTGACAAATTGAAGACGAGGCTCTGCCTGGTTGGAGAAAGCGGTTGGGCCAATTCATCGAGATTACGCAGCGCAAAGAAAACGACCCAGATGGGAATGATGTTGTTATGGACACTTTGCTTCCGTCCGGGCCGACCAAGAGGGGCCAGACGGATGAAGTTGAGGGGCGTACTTTGACGGCGAGGCGGTCTTGGGGCAGATCATGTGATTAGTATGGAATAGCTCGATATATGCACAAAGCAAGAGACTTCTCTGCCGAAACGTGTCATGGTGGCATGCGCGTTGTACGCATCTGTAATTCTGTGCTTGGGGGGTTTGAAAGCGTTTGTCTAGGAGTTGCTGAACTTACCTGGCCAATCAGCCAGCCCACAGATTTTTCCAGGCCTGGCTAATTGTCTCAGAGGCCCAGCTGAAAGATCTCGAGAGACACTATCGGTTTTTAGTGTGTATCTTCTACCCCAAATGAGACATTTATACAGAATCACTAGACTATTTCTAGAAACAATGCCCCCCCATCATCCCTAATGCATTTTGCAGCATGTTGTCGCGTTTCATGCCCCTATGGCTTCATCTAACCCTGAAAGAACTTACGCTCGTTGGTCTCCCCGAGACGTGCCTCATACACCCGCGACAGACGTCCTTCCCATTGGGCCTGGAGCAGATGGAATTGAGACGGTGTTTGACGATGATTCACGTAGATTAGTTGATCCGGCTCACATCCAGCCTGGAGGGAAATATCATTGTAGGTTTCTGAAGCATTTTGCTGTCAACAGCTCAAGGTCATGCTGAGTCTGAATTTGGGTGTAGCCATTGTCAAGCTCCAGATTCAATTCGAAGGCCAGGATCCTAGTGACGCGCGTCATGCTCAAGCTACAGGATGGCTAATCATGCCCCATCACATCATCACCGCCGCACATTGCGTTTATGACCATACATACAACTATGGAAAAGCTGTTCATGTCCGCGCTTTTGTGGGATACAATGGCAAGAACTCTATTGACCAGCCTGGTGTCCAATTTCGCAGAGGTCTCAGGGCTGTCATTCCGAAAGACTGGATCATCAGTGACACCAATCGCGCCAGCGATGTCGCTTTCATCAAGGTGGAAGGATTCAACAACATTGTGCGTATCAGCCAGCAACCCACTACAGGCTTTGTGAATAAGATGCTTTTGAGCGTGGTTGGGTACCCGTGCGACAAATCCTTGGGCGATGAACGGGGCGCGCAAATGTACGAGATGACCAAAACAACAGATTGCGATCTATCAAAAACCGCTTTTAACATGCTGGAGCACACCATGTCTTTTTCAGGTGGTAGGTACCGGTTTCCGGACCGAATTACTTGCAATACTCATCAACTATGCTAGGTCAATCCGGGCCGCCTGTTCTCATCAGTGGCGAAAGCAAGGCTATCGGCGTCTCTTCGTATGGTACCGGAACTAGGAACACAGCAACTGTGTTTCGAGGTAGACTTGGAACCTGCCTCAGCGGCATGTCTACTGTCATGTGTGCCTTGGATCGTGCTCCTGCTGGTAGCGAAGATATCAGATACATCATGACCACGGGCCACCCGGAGGGCAGTGCGACAGAAGAGCCCCTCAGTGATGTTAAAGCTTTTTGGGCAATTTTCCAGAAGGTTACCAGCGTCGGCCAAAGAATTGATCATTCGGTATTACGAACTGGGTCCCCTTTCTTGGCCAGACGGGCAGTCCTATCGCTGCCGTTGCAGGTGCCGCACTCGGTGTCATGGGCAAGCTTGGTTCAGACTTTTCCATCGATATTGGGTCCGTCCGCTTCAATTACAGGCAGTCTGCTGCCCGTGCCATTGTTGCAGAGGCTGCTATACAGACTGTCCTGATGATGGATCCTCACACGGCGAACGAGTTCAGAATATTCGACAAGATGGAGTATCAATTCATAGAGACGAAGGATGTTGTTCCCAGGATTGCAAAACTCATCACACCTGGTATTATTGAGTCTGCACTTCGGATCTCAGTCAATGCGTAGGTTGCGGGCGAGGAAATGCCCAGACTCTACCCAAAGCTCCCTCCCATGAGCAGTTCTCTGAGCGACGGTGCCAAAAGACTTGTTGATGCCTTCACCCGGTACACAAATCAAGGCGATGCCAATGAGATGTCTGAGTTTCTTGGAAGCATCGTTGAAACAGCTTTATCTGCTGGTTCTCCCAACATCGACGTCATCACTCGAGCCATCGGCGAGTTTGAACTGAGCGTGACCGACATGTCGACTCACGTCGAGATTCTGTGTCACAGAGCACTTATGGCTATGAGACACTGTAGAGCAGTGTCACCAATACCTCTCGATCAAATGATGCAGAATGGTGTGTTTGATCATTTTGTCGGTACGGTTGTGAAGATTGGAAAAACGGTCATTGGAGTCGCTCCTGTTGTCGTTCAGAATATCTTGGAAAGTATCAGACAGGAGGAGTAACCATAAACGGGTAGTGGTCACGGGAAATGGCTCTCAACGAAAATCACTATTACGCATGGGAAGTCTGTAGCTTACAGTACTCAACGTGGCCGTGAAGGCTACAAACACTGATTATACAATAGGGAGTCCCAATCCATGTGATCTAGCCTACCGGTTCAACAGGGACAGCATAATACACGAATATGCATTAACATGCTTGCATATAGGGATGAGAGTCAGGGCTAAGATTTGTTCCATAACTATGTGTAGTAGAGAGAATAAAAGATCCGATACATGAGAACGAAAGTTGTCAGCTACAGTATAATCGAAGGGCATTTTCCTCCAGAGCTTGCCACCGAAACATCCGTCTCTCTCCGAAAACACGGCTCAAAAAGCGGTTTGGCTGACCAATGTATGACGCACCCGAGCACAGTAGAGTTACTCGTTCTTGTCGGACACCATCCACATGCGGCTAACGATATAAGGCTGGATAATAATGGTGACGCTGGGGAACGGAGGGATGACAGGAAGCTTGATGTCATGGTTGATAGTGGTGATGACATGAACCGTCTGAGGGTCAGATGCCCCCGTGGGAATCTTGTTCCACGCAATGTCCCACTTGATGAAACCATTCTCAAACTTTGTGTCAACGAGCTTCACATATTCAGGGTTGAAATCGACCTTGACGCCCGAGCTGAGCTCCTTGGGGATCAAGGCCGAAAGAAGAAGGAGGCCCGTGTCAGTGAGGTAATAGTGAATGGGTGGGAGGACGACAGTGTTTTTGCCCTCCTTGGTCTCCGAGCCAGATGCACCAGCGTCGTCTTCAGTAGACTTTACAGCAACGGCGTTATCCTCAGGATCGTCAGGCCACTCAAGATAGACGATTTTGATCTCGGAGGTACCGAAAGCGGTCTCAACAAGGACGGACTTGTTGTTGAAATGGGGGATAGGCAGAAGGATAGGAAGCTCAAACTTAAAGTTGACTTCCTTATCCTTAGGGACCTTCGCAAATCCACCACTGTAGGCCTTGACGGAAAAGCGAAGACCGCCAGTCCAGATGTCCTGCTCAAAGAACGGGGTGAGGAAGTATCCGGGGATAGTGCCCTTGGCCTTGAGAATGAGCTTGCGGCCGAGGCCATGGTAGGAGGCTTCGATGCCCTTGGGGTCAATGGGAACAAGAGAAGCCATTGTTTAAGAGGTTTTGAGTTATGTAGTTGATAGAGAAGTAGAAGTGCTTGGTTGCTGATGATTTGATCTCTTTCCAGCAGAATAGTAATAGGTATTTATATGCAAACGGAGGCCAATGTACATCAGACTGATTCCTTCTGTGGCTATTATTCTCCAGCTGAAAGTGATCTCTTCTGAGCCTATGTCACAATAATATGATGCCATATCCAATATTGTCTGAGAAGGTTTTAGATATCACATCCGCATCAGGTCTCTTCCCCGACCTTGGTCCTCGCATTCAAGAGGCTCAAATACGACAGACCTATGAACACTCTCACATTGGTCCTTGGCCTACGTCTGGAGTAGCACACGCATGCCAGAGAAGAGTATGTTTCACCGTATTAGGCTCGCCCAGCTAGCCACGGGCCGCGGAAGGGCCCGGAGCTGACCATTCATTGTCTCAGTACCATGCTCAGAAGTGGAAACGATCACCTCGTTCTCGTATCAAATCACGGCGCTTAAGCAATGTCACATATCAGCAAGGGATAGTTTATGTGACAATGCAGCCTCGTGCACTAGAACGGCCCATGCCGTCCTCAGCTCCGCCCGTTGCAGACGTGGCGCATATTTGAACTACCTTATCAGGTTAGTCGATGCACCGCCTACAAACTCCATATATTTTTGTGACAGCCATGGTTCGCTGATGTATAGAAATTCCGTCATATTACCACCTCAGAACGACGCCATTTATATGAACTTTGAGACATTTAGAATTTGGCTGAGCTGAAAGCTTTCTTTTGAGCGTGGATAAGTGTTGATCGTGGAAGTAGATGTCTCACCTCCACAAGGGGCCTTCTGTCACATCAACGCTCTAATGGTTCTTCAATGGCAATGCCCCTTTCTTGTCAATCACCTTTCCATTTTATTCCCTCTTGCATGACACCTCAGGACTTTTGTTGGGATCGCGAGTTCCGATTTGCCGCCTGGTCGCATGAGCAGGGCAGCTATTGCCAGGCCCGACATGGAAAGGTCAAGAAGCTAGGCAATAGGAATGAACGGCTTGAAGCTTGATGGGAGAGAAAGATCGTGTGTTCTATTGCTGGGATAGTGGCGAAGGTCCAAGTTCCCACGACCTAATCGTTGCGAACAACTCTAGCTTAAGCAGTACCCAGTCTCTACTCGTGGATGGCTCATTCGTTTCTCAGTGCAGGTGCTGTACCGTCTATCATTTTCTGATGAACGATACGAGCATTTTTCATAGTAGGAGTTAAACTTCTTGCTCGCGTCCGCGCTGTCGTCAACTCATATGTCAACATGTAGACAAGTTTCGAGGTGCTCCAAGGCCAGCACTGCCAGCATGTTATATGAGTTCGCATTACCCAAGCCCGGGTATCAGCGTCACTACTGACGTCGTGTAGAAATTCAGTAAATAAATGATGAATCGCAGTCGCAGATTCGTCTTCGACGATCTCGAGCAATCTGTTGCAAGCAGCCCGACCAAGGTCATTGCCCTACCGGAGATTAAGCTTTAGCATACCAGAAAGCCACAATTCAAGTTATATCAGGCGCAACGGTTGGCTTGCATGCGTCGCACAAATTAGTATCTTGGTTTGCTGTTTCGTCGTTACGCTGGTGGGGCGGGCAACTTGGCCAGTGTGTTATCGAAAGCTCCACGCAGGGCTCTAGGGAGGTGGTCCAGACTAGTAAGCAAATATCAACACTTATCAAAGTTTTAATATTTGCTTTATCTTACAATAAGTGTCTCAGTGAGCATCAGATGTTGGTGATAGTAGTTACAACCCAGCCTGAAGTAATCCAAAGCCTTATGCATGTATAAGCAATGCCGCCAAGGAGTGGCTCAAGGCAGATTAGTTCCAGTTGGGCATAATCAAGCTTAGTGCAATGCAATGTTGACCTATAGATTTGCTGGATATCTGTATTTGTAATTGTGAACACTGCCCTGCGGTGATACAAACACGTTGTGAGATGTCATTGGTAGCCTCGTTCTGTACTGTGTACATGAAACCCGCTTCACAAATCCCTCGTGTGGATTTTCTTTCCTCCTCTCATCCTTCTACAGTCTAGTAACTATGGCAGAGCTGGCACTGGCTGTTATTCCCCTGGGAATAACAGTTACATCTGGTCTCGTGAAGTACCTGAAAACCTTCAACGATCACGATGACGATCTTGCTCGACTTGTACGTCAGGCTGAACGCTTTGAAAGCACGTTTCAATCACTTGAAGGTGTTTTAAAACGTTCCCAGCTTAACCCAGAACTTTCTATCTCATCATCAGAGGCTTCTGTTTGTCTCAGAGAATGCCAAAAGGTATTGGAAGAACTGGACACCCTTCAACAGAAGATCTTTGCAACCACTACCAGCGCCGCGGCGACGACTCCTCACGTGCGTACAAAAAACAAGATCAAAGGCGGATGCAAGAAGCTTATGTATCCGCTACGAAGATCCGATATCGAAGCTCTACAAGGAGCTTTGAATGGGCTTTCAACAACGCTCACTCTAGCTCTAGGAATGCTTCATCTGTAAAGCGCCCAAATCTCTATCAATTTCCCAGCTGACGAGCCTCAGAGATGAAGAATTTTTGACAAGAAAGATTTTGAATGAGCAAATGGTCGAGATTCAGAAGAACAAAATCGTCAGCTCCAATATATCGACCGATATCAAAGAACTACGCCAACCTATCTCGGAAATCGGGTCGAGCCTCCCCGTTCTCCAGACTTCCGTTGATGCTATTGTTCCCCATTTCGACCAGAGGTTTGACCAGATTTCTTACCAGATTTCGTACCAGAATGTCCAGATGCAAGCTCAAATCGAATCACTTCTCGAAATAGCCGGGCCTACAAGATATCAGGATCGCCTCAGGACAAACCAGCAGCTTTCATACAGTCGCTCTGGAGGGGAAGGCACCCATCTTGCGGCCCGTGAGATTGAACAGGAATTGCATACGCTTTCCAAAAGAGCTGATTCGGTATCGACGTGTTCATGCCAGCTACGACGCGTGCGTCAGACCAAAAGGTTTGCTCTGGGGCCTGTGCATTTCTTCGAAGAGATGTTATCCAATTGCCGTCATGAGAGAGACTGTGACTTCTTCCTCATGTCATCAGACTACGAAAAGACACGAACCATTAGTTTTACTAGCTTGACTTCCTTCTTGAAAAAGGGGCTTGAAGTATCATTCACTACTCGCGCTCGGACAGGGACACTCAGTATCAGCCCCTCTTTTACTTACTTTCCAGTGGTTGATTTGGACGTTGCTCCAGCATTTTTAGTTATCCGCTATCTTCACGACGCAATCGAGCTCAGGAGCATTAATGAGGCAAGATCCAGAACAATTCTGAGCGCGGCGCAGCGAAAGCTCCAAGAGTTGTTTTGCTCGGGAAGAGCAAGCCCTAATGACGTAACCGAAGATAGTCTTACCCTACTTCATATCCTAGGTCTCTCAGTAGGATCACATGAAATGAAAGCATAACAGACTATTTAACTAACTTCTTTAGACATATCCCTGGTTAAGAACTTTGCAAAGAGCAAATTCTCCATTCGTGCGCTCGACGTGTGAAGGCTTGCTCAATTTTCTCGTTGCCGCAGGTACATCTGTCACAGTTCGTAACCGTGTTGGAATGTAAGGACCCCAAAAAACCTACAATCATACCTTCAACTCAACAATTCTCAGTTCGGCATTACATATAGTAATCAGTGGGACCTTTGTTCCCGCCTCTATCTATGGCCAGTTAAATGCTGGGAACGACGTAGAAGATCGCAGCGATTTACATATAAGCTCCCCGATTAATAGGCGTGAACTTATTGATTATTACGATCAGAACCAGAGCGTGGCAAGGAGTAAGTTCCACTACCTTGTTCAGCCATGTGCTGCCACCCTTCCTGTGATCTCAGAAGGCTTATGGTACGAATTAGTTCACTACGGCCCTCTAGGCTTAGCAGTCATTCGAAACAATTTACCAGAAGTGGAGCGACTCATCTCCCTGCATCCGCATATGCTCAAGGAGGTAAGTCACTATGGGGAGACACCGTTGCACATAGCCATCTACAGGCTGGATATTCTGGAAGCACTGGCCAAGGAAGCAAATTCCGAAGTTTGGATTCAATACACCGATGATGGCGCGACCGTTCTTAACCTTGCAATACAAATCAGTCATGAGATTTGTAAATCGGAAGAAAATTTGGATGTTTCATGTTGTCCTTGTACATTACCGCTTCGGGTCATTTTAGCCGCCGGATGTCCCATTATACCTCACCGCGATTTCCGTCAAGGCTGTCAGCTATATGTTCCAGAACGCTCCTTCTCTGAAGCTTCTCTCCACTGCAGAACACTTCTGGCAAAAGAGCTGCACAGTCGCCGTTGGCAGCTGCGTGACTTGGCCCGAAACAAGCTTTCAATCACAGAGTTCAGCAACTTTACAGCTCTGGAGGAAGTACCCGACATTGACGCCATCGCGATGGATGGGTTACTTCGCCAAAAAGGGATTCTTGGTCTGGGGCCCCTCTCGACTTTCGTTGATGAAGACCTACCTAAACAGCCTTGTCGAGATGTCGGCTACTATTCTAGATCCATATTCTTTGATCTTGGAAACCCAGAAGATGCAGAACTCTTCCTTGACTGTGACTTCAAGTTAATCTGCGCCGATCAGCATCATGACTTTTCACTGGACAGGGCACTCTTCAACAGGTTTCCGTCATGGTCCCGTTCCATTTCACTCGACTACGCAATATGGCTATTTGATCATCAAGCCCCTTTATGGAAATGGAGTTCCAGGTTCACTAGCCCGATGCCTTCTATTTTCGTTCTTGCCGATATTCTCGGTATACAAGACTACAAATGTCCTGGCCAAGACAACACAAAGGACAAGGGAGAGCATTATCTGTCCAAATCGGTTTTGCTCGACAATTGCTCTTGCCTGTGTTCACCTGATGGCTGTACCCCCTTCACCTCAAGAATGAAGTGGCTGGCACACCCCTATCAGCAGGCTGAAGACCTCACACCTCAAGATTATGCCACGCGTTTCGGCTCTTATGTGGAAATATATGGCAGAAGCCTGAACCTAGGCCATCACATCATCATGGTGCGACAAGCAACATTTGCTGCTCTAGATCTAAAGCACACGTGTTTAGATAGGCCTGGGTATAGTCGTTGGCCGGGTCATCCCCATCAGATGTACCTTCTGGATCCAGTGACACAACTGGAACCAGATGAGATGGAGTTCGAGATTTTCAATGTAGATGTGGAGGCAATGAATCAGTTGGAGGAGGTGGTCGTCTTGTTTCAGGACTTTGTGCTAACCGGGCGCCAAACGACTATGTCGAGCAAGAGTGCTAGTTTTGATATCGACCATTCAGCATTCAATGAGTTGAGTACCCTTGGCATAGACGACCTTTACCACCAGCGAATTTTGGAATTCTGGCAGCACATATGGGCAAATAGCATGCAGGCTGCGTTGGATACTGTGGCCAAAAGGTGGGATCATAAGCTGGATGGAGTGAACGATTTTGTCCAAATTGCAACTTGTGAGGAGGCAATACAAGAAACAAGAGACAACCTTGAGGAGGGCGATGATGATGATGAAATTTTCAACAGGTTTATCCAACGGATTCAGGATATCTAAGGATTCTAATAGCTAGGGATAATATTCTTTACTTGGTTCATTATCCCCTTATTCAGGTCAAGGCAGTTCTCTATTAACAATCAAAAAGACAGCTTAAATCGATCCCAGTTGACGCTTGCCTGAGATATTCGAGTCACTAAACGTATGCACTAGTGTTCTTCCTTTGACATCCAAAACTATCAAATCTCTTCCCACGTCCACAAGCATGGCTAAGACAGTGTTAGAAGAGCTTGGAGCCTCTTCAGGTTATCGCAGCTTACATCTAGGACTTTGTGTTTCTAGCCTTGCTTGTCTAGGACTTGGTTCCGCACTACTAACACGTGCCGTTGATCCGCATAGCCGGCTGTACCGATATCAGTCACTAACACTATCAGGTTATCAAGTTTCTGTACTCTTTACTGTATTATAATTACCGGGTCACCCCTGACACAAAGCGATACGCAAATTTGAACCTCCCCACGAATGTTTTCTCAACAAAGACTATGTCACCCGAAAACACCGATCCTCTGGCCGGACTAGATTCCATCGACTGGTCTCAACTCAGCCACGCCTACAGCCCAGCTAATGACGTACCACATCTCCTAAAGAACCTACAGTCAGCAGATCCTAAAGTCTACAAGACAGCATTTGATAAATGTTGGCCCAACATCTATCATCACGGCTCACGCTACAGTGCTTCAGTTGAAGCAGTTCCATTCCTGTATGCTTTACTTGATAGCCCAGGTACCAACGATCGCGAAAGCCTGTTGTACCTGATTGTCAGTCTTGCAATCGGTCATCCAGACTGGGCGGTCCCTAACGGGATTGATATCCAAGAATGGGAAAAGCACCTTGCGGGTATGGATCCTGAAGACCGTGATTATGCAATGAAAGAGCTCAAAGCCTACGAGACCGTCGAGCGGGGACTATCTTCACTTCTACGTTGCTTGAACGAGGATTCAGCGAGCATGCGAGCCAATGCAACTCATGCTTTGGCATTCTTCCAACGTCAATCGGCTGCATCGAGAGTAGATCTCCTCGATCGACTTAGTTGAGAGACGAGTGGTAATGTTCACGGGACGATTGTACTGGCGCTCGCCATCTTGTTCGCTCGAGTAGACGATGTGTCAGAGAATCGGGATCTTGTCGAGAAGATTCAGGAGTACTATGCGGCTTCAACTATTCAAAAAGCATCTGACGATATCTTCGGATGGTCTTGCGCTGTTGCCCTCTTTATTCTAGGTTCAGAGGAATATGGGTTGGCTGAAACAGTGTAAATTTTACGCGTGGACGAAGCGTGCCTGACCAAGTTGGAATCAACCATTGATCCTAATTCTTGGTTTCCTTTCACCATACTGGATCTACGCGATTTGGCCAAGTCAGTATTAGACAGCCGGCAAAGTTAAGCAGGCAGTTTTCGAGCTCAGGTAGATTAAGCGCAGGGCAGTTGTATAATGGGAACTTCAAATGCTCAGAATAGTCATTTCTTCCGCTAGGGGTATGCGAGTTGTGAATCCTCGTTCAGCCTCCATTCCCCTAAATGATGTTTGTAAATAGAAATTCCAATTATGATAGTAAAGCTCTTTCTAAAATCTATATATGAGCGTATTTGCTACTTACTCTCCGAGTCAACGGGCCTTTTACTTGTACCTGTTGACCTGCTCCTCAGTCCACTCCCAGTACTTCTTCCCCAATTCGGCATCAAGAAGATCTTTGCGGCACGGCTCGACCTTTCCAAACGGAGAGACTATTCAAGTGATACAGTCAGCCATCAGAAGTTTTAATTCGCTGCCTAAAATGATGTTGTAGGCATCTTGGAATGACAAAGACTTACCCCAACAACCATTTTCCTTCTCTGTGATGGTAGGAGAATGGCTTGCAAACAGTTGAGTATAGGCTCCGTTCTTGGGTGCATGAGCGATCAGTTTCTATGCATATAGTATCAGTATTGAGTCTTGACATCTGCAAGGCGTTGACTTACGAAGATGGCAAGCTGCATCCTCGGCATGTTCTGCTGTAGGTTGGTCACAAAGTTGCCAGGATTGAGAGCCTATAGACAAAAGTCAGTTTCCAGATTCTGATAAAAAGGAGGAAATGGAATGACGAACAATGCTGATGATGCCTTCTCCGGCAGTCCTTCGAGCATACTCCACCGCGTGCAAGACATTCCCAGCCTTACTTCTTGAATACTTCGGCCAGATCCCTTCTTCATTATGATAGTCCATGTTTGTGAAATCGATAGCTGGTGTCGGTGCACCATCAGCAGCGCTGGAAGATACCCAAATGACACGAACAGAGTTCTTGGGATCAATCTGGGCCGTAGCAGCAAGAATAGGATGGAGGAAGTGAGTGAACAAGAACGGGGCGAGGTTGTTCACGCCAATCTGCAATTCATAGCCTTGTACCGTCTTAGACCCTTGAGGTGGAACCATAACACCAGCGTTGTTGTAGAGTACGTCGAGACGGCTTTCCTGTGCGAGGAATTCTTGGGCCGAAGCCTTGATAGTGGTAAGGTCGTCGAGGACCAGCGGTAGGAAGATCATACTGCCGGTCGAGTTTGGATATGCTGCCTTGATATCTCTCATAACCTCGCCGGTCTTGGATCGCGAGCGAGCGGCCATATAGATCTTGCCATTTTTCTGGTATAGAATTGAAGCAAGCTCCTTGCCCAATCCGCCAGAAGCGCCAGTGATAAGAAAGACCTGATAGAGTTAGTTTAGACGAGATATACTTATGGATTGAGCGAGTTCTCTTACCTTGCCTGTTTGGTCAGGGAGGTTCTTCTCTGTCAGAGTGGGCTTGTTGGGAATGATGGTGCTTCGACGGACACTCATAGTTCGTAGTCTTTCAACTGGTGTTTTTCAATGATCTAACAGTTTCAGTACGGATGAAAGAGGTATTAATTGACGACAATATCGGCCCTGCTGAGTTTTGCGAATGTCTTGATGGTTGTGTCCTGGGGCTTCTGGGGCAGCTCTCAACTTTATATAGGCGGCCTGTAGTCAATAGATCAGAACAAAATCAGCGTCTGCCCTGAGTCGCCATTGAATTACACTAATACTGAATAATGCGGCCGCAACGGAGCGAGTCGCGCCTGACAGTCGCTGGCCCGCCCGAGAGCACCACTTGGGGTGATGCGGGTTCTGCGGCCGCACTCCGCACTCCGCTCTACCACATTTCATTGGCAGCGATTCTGGCAATAGTATGGCAATAAAACGGTGCACTCTCTTTTCTTCTTACTAGAACGGAGTTATCTGTCGGAAATAACGTTGCCTTGTTCTGGAACGCAACTAAACTACTCTATTGTAATGTCGTCCTAGCTTCTACCCTTGCTGTAACGTCGTGAACCGTCAGCATCTCGCGATACGTGCTACCAAGCCGCCATCTCGAACTCATAGTATCCAAAAACATATCCAAATCAGCAGCAGCCGTGCGGTAAACTTCATTCCCACCCTCACCAAGAAGCCAGTGAAATGTCGCTGCACTTGCGTAGATAGAATCCAGTATGAAAGGGCTTACTTTGGACAGCGAGGATATTCCGTCAGTTCTGAATGCGGGTAGCAATTCCATACCCAAAGTGTGTAGCTGTTCGCTGGCCTGTTCGATGATATGCATGGATTGCCTCTGAAGCTCGATCTCGTTCTGTGTCTTGTCACCCGGACTATCAACATATCCAGGCTCCGCACTGATTTTTTCTGGGCAAGTGAAACGGTCGAGAGCAACAAAGAGCGCTGAGCAGACAATGCATCGCGGTGCGAGAAGTATGACACTTTTCTCGGGACTAAGAGTCGTAGTCTCATTACCCACGATTGCTCCGAAATCCGACAATTCGCCTGCGAGAGACATGATTTGTTCAATACGAGAACTTGTCATGGCTGAATTATCCCGCGCGTAGCTTATGGCGCGTCCGAGATACATCGAGGCTTGACATAGTCTTGCGAATGGAGACTGCTGGAGCTGATATGATATTGAGGTTGAGTGACTGACAGCCAGGTTTACTTCGCCGCGGTCCTAGATGCATGTGAGTTGATAAAGTATGAACAGTGTTGAGGTTCTATAAACTTACCCATGCGTGGTCATCGACAGGCAGTTTACACTGTGGATGGATATCTGGAAGTAAGCAACGCTTTCTGCTTCCCAGTGACATGAGCTTATCGAGGATATAGATACTCCACCATACTCTCCTTCTCTCTTCAGCCTCTGTCCATGTTGTCTAAAGATATGTCAGCGTATTGAGTCCCTTCTCTTTGTCAATGGGGTCAAGCGACGCTGAGTTGATCTTTAAATAAGCGTCATGATATTTAGGAGACATACCACTTGACCCAATGGAGAATAATCACCGGGGCTGATGCCCAAGATATCAGAGTAGCGCACGCACGACCCAACCGTCATCCAAGCTGCCGGATAGATTGCATGGGAATATTCATACAAGGCTACGAGGATCATAGCCTGAAGACAGAGTAGTGAGATGACGCCGTTGCTCTCCAGACTAGCGAGGAAGCTTTTAGCTGTATCATACAATGCTGAGTCGGTTATGTCGACAGCAGGAGTCGTAACAAGCTTCATCCCAAGGAACAGCATGGCGAGATCAGGGCCTGCATTCTGCACCGGGAGACCCATATCCATCCTCTTTTTAGATATCATAGGAAACCAGGTGTGCACAGTCGCAAAGTAGTCTTGCGATACATCTAGAACGACGTTGCCCTGGCTGAGAAGCGCGAGGACGGGCTAGCAAGGATTAGAGCACTGAACAACAGATATAACAGCGCAGGGATAAAATGACGATGGAGTTTACTGGAGGCAGCATACCGCAGGAATGATGCCGCTGGGGACAGGCAGTCTGGTATGAGACCATATATAGCAGTCAACATCGAGAAACATGGATGCCGGAAAGTGTGTCACTGAGGTTGGGCCTGGATATTCGACGGTGGAGTAAGCAGGCGTGAAACCGATAGATTGGGACGACGAGTTGACGCTATTCGACCCGATGCTGTTCGTATCGATGGAGTCGCAGAATGTCGCGCCTGACGTTGAACCTTGTTCCAACACTGAACCCGACGATGGGCCTGAAATCGGGCTCAAGATGTGCTGCTCAGCAGCCCTCGGAGAATTGGCCAAACGATTCTCAAGCTCAGTGAGACGCGCCTGCATCATGATCCAATCGCCAGCACTTGGCTGGAAATCAGCGGCAATGCCATACTCGCACAGACGTTGAGTCCGCTTGCATAAGCTACACTCAGGCAGAGCCTTATCGCAGCGCCGCTTCTGCTTTTTGCAGGCTTTGCAAGCTTGCTCGCTGCGGTTTGCCATTTCTTGATTTTCGTTGTGTATTATTCATTCAATCAATTGATGGAGACGCGGATGTCAGCCGCACGTTAAAGATATGCGAGTCGACGTACATACTGCCTAACTCCGTGCTTTTACCGCTGTCGGACTTGAAAGGCGGAGATGAGTGCGGAAAATGCGGCCGCATCAGTGGGGCTAACTGATCCCGTCAGTCCGGAGACATCCGTCCATAGCTGCTACCAGATAACCAACCGTGCCTCCCGTACGGAGCAAAGTCGATCAATATGCAAGAGTCTCTTATAAAAGAACTGATCTGAGCTCCTTGACAAATGCAACGATGTTGCGCTATTCTGCGGCCATGCTGACTCATGAGCATCGTCCACTTGGAACGGATTCACCGTCGACATCTCATGGCCGGAATGAGATAAGAGACGCAACAACTTGATCGCTCTATAAATAAATGGAGGCTTTGCAAGTTAACTTACTACGTAGTATTGCATTCTTGCTTTACAGAGTGGCGCCCGGAAAGCCACAAAGTCAGCTTCGTTGCCTGGAATGCCAGCGAGGGCAAATGAAGTCGCTACCCTACAGCAAGCAAATATTCCTTCAACCGCACTTTTCCCCATAACATAACATATATTCTCATCATCAAACACCTTCCTTTGTCATCACACTTTCTTGGCATACAAATGTTAAGAAAGTGGCCCTGTCTACGCCTAAATCCTTAACAA